CACCTGTGCTGGCAGAACTGTCAATACCAGTACACCTACTGTGACTGTGGATATCGTTTCTGTTTTAGTTTTGTCGTTTTATTTTGAAGCTGGGTTATAGGGTACATAAAGTTAGAATTATACTTCCTGAATAGTGAGTTTAACTTTTTGGTCATGACAGAGACCACGAGCTCTCATAAAACTGTTTGTCTTAAAATATGCTTAGGAGAGCAATTCCAGCTTTCTTTTCTGCGTCTACATTAAAGTGTGTCTTTGTATATACTTGTGTTTTGTTTTTTCTCTTGTCATTTGTGTTTTCATGAGATTACTAAGTATATTACTGTTTAGTATACTTACGCCTGTGTTGTGTCCTCAGCATATTTTATTCCATTCTCCCCTTTTATACAGTTCTTTCATTAGTTAAATCTAGACATTTAAGCATGCATCATTGACTTACTAAGGTCTAGTATAGATTAGTATTTTTACCATTTCCAGGACAATGAAAAAACCTTAGAATTATTTAAATCCAGTCACCCAATGCCTTGCATTTTATACTATAGTTTTTGTACTTTTAATTATTGACATGTTTAATATCCCTGGCAGCATTATTATTATTTTAGATTTACCTTCATATTCATCTATTTCTGGTTGCTCTTTGTTTCTCCCTGCATCTTTTTACTTCTAATAGGGATTACTTTTTTAGAATTATGTTTAGTAATTATTTTAGTAAGATACTTTTGTGACTGAATTTTTTCATACTTTGTCTAAAAAATTATACTTATTTCATCTCCACTTTTGAAGGGTATAGTCACTGGATACAAAATTCTTTTTTAAATTGTTTATTTGCTTTTTAATATTGCTTATGTAACTGAGAGGGATGCATGCCCATGGGGGCCTATGATCAGCGTGGAGAGGCTCAGATATGGAGGAAAGTAGGTGGGACAAATGTTTCACATTTTTTTTCTTCTGTGTCTGCAGGGAAGGAGAGGGAAGGGGCTGCTCCTTACTGTCAAACTACATTAGCACCTGGGACAGAGACAGTCATTTGATAACACCTTAGAAACCTCAATGTGAGGAAAAGTGTTCCAAGGGTGTTACTTGAGTGGTAACAACTTGATTTTTCCCTGTGGCAGGGATCTGAGAAGTAGTAGGCTTCATTACTCATGGTTGAAAAAAATCTTTCCTAGGTCTACTGACTGACCAAGTCTACCTCAGTGTGCATCCATAGACTTAGACACTTGCTGTAAAGCTTGGCCAAGAGAGTTGCTCAAACTGTTCTGCTTTTTATTCTCTGATGAGGCAGTCAACATCCCCTGCTAACTTAGATGAGCTGGCTGTCATGTCCTCCACCTGCATGTGGGCATGGTGTCTACTGCTTAGTCATCAGCCACTGTGGTGGCCCAGTCTCAATACACATACTCCAAGGCCAAAGCACACATCCTGTGATTTTTCCCTGTGGCCAGGGTCTGAGTCTAGAGATGCCATCTGGTTTCCCCCAATTAAACTGTTCTGTCTCGGCTCCCTTGCCTGCCTCTGAGTGCAGTGGCCCAGGCCATGGAAGATCCTTGTCAAATACCCTCAGCTGCTCCCACCCCAGTCTGTCCCCAGACCCTATTCTTCAGGCATTCTACAGCTCCTTTCTACCCCCACTGCACCCCTGCCTGGGGTGCGGGGTGGAGGGGGTGTAGCTCAGTGTTCCTGCTCTCCCCACGTATGTAAAAATAAGAATAATTTTAGAAAGAATAGGCAACTATGCGGGCACACTGGAATAGTTAACACTAATGTGGTATAACTAGACCCAGAATGCTTGCCAGCTACTGCCTGCTTTTCTCTCAGCAATGGGACACCTGCTTAGGTACTAAGCAGCCTAGGCAGGTGCCTGCAGCTGGGGTGGATACAGAATTCTAGTCACCGCTCTAAACATATCGCTCCTCTGACTTCCGTTGTTTTCTGTTGAGAATTTTGCTGTCCTAACTGTTGTTCCTTTAAAGAGAATTATGTACTTTTTTTTTCCTTGCTCTGGCTGCTTTTAAGAATCTTCTTAGTCTTTGATTTTTATCAGTTTTCTGGGTTTTATCAGTTAATTATCTTCATTAGGGCTATGCTTCTTGCATTGTGATTTGGAGTTTTTGTCATTTCTGGAAAATTCTGTGATATTATATCTTCAAACACCACTTTCACCCCATTCTGTCTTCCCTCTCATTCTAGGCTTTAATGATTTCAAAATGTATTTATTTGAAAGGCTCAGAAAGAAAGAGAGATCCCATCCACTAGTCTAATTCCCAGACAATGTCAGAAGTGCAGGAACAAAAACCAGGGGCTGGGAACCCAGTTGAGTCTCCCACACGAGTTGCAGAAGCTCGATTACTTAAGCATCACCAGCAGCCTTCCCAGGAGCCATATGAACAGGAAACCGGAGTCAGGCACTTGGAGTTGCTGTATAACCTAGACAGTCTGATGTTTAGGCCACTAGGCCAAGTGCCTGCTCGACAGTAAATTCTTAGTTTCAATTATGATATATTTTTAGTCTTAAGATTTCCATTTGATTAATTTAAAAAATGTTAAGGGTCAGCAACTGTATTAGGTTTATATTTTTATTTGTTTTTTGAGAGTCAGCGTGATCTCCCAGTCTACTGATTCGCTTCCAGATTCCTGCAGTCCACGTCTTCCCAATGAGCGTCGGGCCCAGTCTCTTAAAGTGTCACTGCCAGCTCCCACAGGGTCTGCACTAGAAGGAAGCTGCAGTCAGGGGCTGGAGCCCAGTGCTGAACCTGGGGCCCTGATATGGGCATGGGCGTCTTAACCACTAACCACCAGGCAAATACCTGCCCCTCGCTTTATGAGTTTTAGTTTATTCCTAAAAGTCTCTCTTGTCATTTATTTTGCTGAATATTTCAACTGTGATAGTTTTGAAATTTTTGTTTACTAGAGGTCAGCATTGACATGGTGGCCAAAGCCACGGCCTGTGATGTCAGCAACCTATATGGGTGCTGGTTTGAGTCCAGGATGCTCTACTTCCAAACCAGCTCCATGCTAATGGCCTAGAAAGAGCAGCAGAAGATAGCCCAAGAATTTAGACCCCTGCCAGCCCTGTGGGAGACCTGGGTGAAGCTGCTGGCTCCTGGCTTCAGCCTGGCCGGGTGCTGGCCGTTACAGCCATCTGGGAAGTGAACCAATGAATGGAAGCTGTTTCTCTGTGTGTATTAGTTACTCTTTCAAATAAATAAAGCTTTTTTTTTTTTAAAGCTTATGTTTATTAATTTCAGTAGCTGGATATATTATGGATTTGATTCTAGTGGTTTTTTTTTTTTTTTTCTCCTTCATGAAATCTAGTGTCTATATAAGCTTAGAGTTTTGGTGAAATTTTTTTGATTGATTGATTGTTAGACACAGTTTTTTAGTTTTGCAGTATGTTCTCCTCGAGACTGGCTGGAGTTTTCCCAGTGGCTTGTCAATGGCTGATGTACCCTGTTTCAAGCAGGGGTTGGTGGAGTAGGAAACTGACCTTTAACCTTTGAGAGGAACAATCTATCTTTAGTTTACCCTTATTCCTAGGACATGGCCCTAGGTTTTACCACGCCTCTTTCTCCTTTGTGGACTCTGAACTTAGCGTTTTGACCCTCCAGCCTGTGGTTATGTAATGCTCTTCTCATCTCCCCCTCGGTGATTTTCCAAAGGGCTTTAAAACAAATTGCTGTGCTCATTGTTTAGTGAGAGGTTTGGTCCAGCAACCTGGTAAGCCTTGCTGGACGTGGATCTTTTTTTTTTTTTTTTTTTTTTTTGGTATTTGTTATTATTTCCTGCTTTTTAAAGCTATAATACTTGGGCATGGTGTAGTAGCTCAGCGGCTGGAGTCCTCGCCTTGCACGCACTGGGATTCCACATGGGTGCCAATTCTAATCCCAGCAGCCCTGCTTCCTATTCAACTCCCTGCTTGCGGCCTGTGAAAGTAATTGAGGACAGCCCAAAGCCTTGGGACCCTGCACCTGCATGGGACACTTGAAGGAGGCTCCTGGCTCCTGGGTTCAGATTGGCTCAGCTCCAGCCAATTTGGTCACTTGGGGAGTGGATCATCAGATGGAGGATCTTCCTCTCTGTCTCTCCTCTTCTGTATATCTGCCTTTCCAATAAAAATGAATAAATTTTTATTTTTAAAAAAGCTACAGTACTCATACATGGCAAATTTACAGATGTGCAAAATAGAATCTGCGTCAATAGCTTCTTCATAGCATGAATCAATCTATACCTCATGTTCTATATTTCCCATCAAGAACACTACAGTTCCTGAGCAGTGCCACCTTAGAGAGCTTCTGGAGGGATGTTTTGCTTTTGTTTTTGAGATGTAAATGTTTATTTGGAAGAGTTAGATTGAGAGGGAGGAGAGCACGTGCATAAGACACAGAGATGGAGAGATCTTTGATTTGCTGGCTGATTCCTCCAATGACTGCTAAGGCTAGGGCTGGGCTAGGCTGAACCAAGGACCTGAAACTCCATCTGGATCTCCCATGTGGGTGCAGGAGCCCAAGCACTTAGGCCCTCTTCTGGTGCTTCGCCTGGTGCACTAGCATGGAGCTGGACCTGAAGCAGAGCCATCAGGACTCCAAGTGCTGCTCATATGAGATGCCCATGTTGCTGACTTAACTTGCCATACCACAGTGCCAGCCACTATTTATTGTTGTTGTTGCTGTTGTTTTTAAACAAGCAAAGCAGGATGAATATATTAGATTCAGAGAAATGGGATCTACTCCAAGGCTTGTGTTGTGATGTGTAAGAGCTGTTATAAATCTCACTGGCCCCCACCTTCCCATGTTGACTAAGTGCTAATGTTTTCCCTGTTGAGAGAAATTTGCTTGCTCAGAATTTCAAATTAATTTCCAATTCATCTTCCCATCTTTCAGCCATGCATTTTGCACAAACTTCATTTATTCTGAGATTGTTTCCTAGGTTAGCAGGGGGCTTATGTTTCGTTTCCAGTATAAACGCTTAGTATTTCTTCACAATTTTTTTCTGTGCATCTGCAGAGGGCGCTCGAGAGGAAGATCTGGACGCTGTGGAAGCTCAGATTGGCTGCAAGCTTCCCAATGACTACCGGTGTTCCTATCGGATCCACAACGGGCAGAAGCTAGTGGTGCCTGGGTAAGATGGTCTATGTTTATATTTAATGATGCAGGTTATCTTCAGGGATGAAAGGAAATATGTCATGTTTATATCATAACAGATTAAAGGAGTGTAGGAATTCCTGCTTCTTCATAGAAGTCTGTAAAACCAAAATCTGTAGCTCACTTAGATTTTTTCAGAGTAAATGTCTCAGAAACTATCATTCTTATCAACACGTCAGGTTTTTTTTTTTAAGATTTATTTTTATTGGAAAGTTAGATATATAGAGAAGAGGAGAGACAGAGAAGATCTTCCGTCCGATGGTTCACTCCCCACAACAGCCATAGCTATGCAATCCAAAGCCAGGAACCTGGAGCTGCTTCTAGATCTCCTGCATGGTTCAGGATCCCAAGGCTTTGAGCTGTCCCCGACTGCTTTCCCAGGCCACAAGCAGGGAGCAGATGGGAAACAGGACTGCTGGGATTAGAACCGGCACCTATATAGGATCCTGGCATGTTCAAGGTGAGGACTCCAGCTGCTAGGTCACGGCGCTGGGCCCAACACGTCTTTATAGTTAAAGTTTGGAGTTCAGGGCAATAGGCCCTAAGATGAATATGTGTGATTGTATGTGTATTTTAAGATTTACCTATTTTTATTTGAAAGGCAGGTTTAGAGAGAGAGAGAGATTGTGCATTCGCTGGTTTACTCATGAAATGGCTACAGTGGCCGGAGTTGGGCTGGCCTGAAGCCAGGAGCAAAGAGATTCCTCTGGGTCATCTGCATGGGTGCAAGGACCCAAAGACCTAGACCATCCTATGCTGCTTTCCCAGGCACATTAGCAGGGAGCTGGATTGGAAGTAGAGTAGCCAGGACTCAAACTGACCCCCACATGGGATGCCAGCACCACATGCAGAGGCCTGATTCACTACAACACTACATGCATCCAAATATATCTATATATATATTTTTAAAGATTTATTTTCTTTTTATTGGAAAGGCGGATATACAGAGAGGAGAAACAGAGAGGAAGATCTTCCATCTGATGATTCACTCCCCAGGCGGCTGCAACAGCTGGAGCTGAGCCAATCCAAAGCCAGGAGCCTCTTCTGGGTCTCCCATGCGGGTGCAGGGTCCCAAAGCTTTGGGCCGTCCTCGACTGCTTTCCCGGGCCACAGGCAGGGAGCTGGATGAGAAGCGGGGCTGCCAGCGCCCATATGGGATCCTGGGTGTGTAAGGCGAGGACCTTAACCACTGCGCCATCGCGCCAGGCCCTATATATATATATATATTTTTAAGATTTATTTATTTTTATTGCAAAGTCAGATATACAGAGATGAGGAGAGGCAGAAAGATCTTCTGTCCGATGATTCACTCCCCAAGTGGCCACAACAGCTGATGCTGCCCAAAGCCTTGGGACCCTGCACCCACGTGGGAACCCTGGAGGAGGTTCCTAGTTCCTGGCTTCGGATCAGCGCAGCTCCAGCTGTTGCTGATCCTGTATGCAGACCCAGATGGGTCTGCTCCTTTTGTGCTGTTGTGGAGGAAGTAGTTTCAGGGGTGCTGTGCCTGTGAAATGCTCAGGAGGGTTTGCAGCTGCTCCCGCTGGGACCCAGCATTCCTTTGTGCGTGGAGAAGCAGGTGAAGCTCTGTCCTGACTTCCAGAGAAGCCTCGAGGTGGTCATGGAACGATGGCAGCAGACGTGAGAAATCAGAGGCCAGGGGTCTGAAATAGAATCAGCTAGGAGGAAGTGGACAAGCCTAAGTATTGCTGGCTCTTCCTGTCAAAATGACACTGAAACTCAGCCATATTTCAAGAGCAGGAAAAGAGACTTTTCTTAAAAGGATTGAGGAAGATAGCTCATGAATTCCAACATAGGCTTTTTATCCAGTTGTGGCCCAGGCAATGAGGCTCAAGGTAGCAGTCTCGCCAGGGGTCGCCGGGTTCTTTGGAACTTGTATTGCCATCTTGTAATGTGTAGTAAGATTAATATATACCACACTCAGTCCAGGTTTGTGGAAATTTGGACATATTTATGCTGTCTGCATGTTTGGGTGAACTACAGGTCATTTTGAGATGAAGATTTCAGGGAGAATTTGCCCTTTAAATCAGCTGTATATATATATATTGCAGGACAGTGGCAAATCAATAAATCGTGGCAAGGTGGTTCATGAAAGCAATAAAATAAAGAGAATTTCTTTTTAAGAGCTTGATATTTAGCTGTTTGGAAAAATACAATTTTCAGGTCCAATGCAGTAGCATAGCAGCTAAATTCCTTGCCTTGCAAGCACCAGGATCCCATATGGGCGCTGTTTTGTGTCCTGGCTGCTCTACTTCCTGTACAGCTTCTTGCCTGTGGCCTGGGAAAGCAGTTGAGGATGACCTAAAATCTTGTGACCCTTCAACCACGCGGTAGACCTGGAAAAAGCTCCAGGCTCCTGGCTTCTGGCTCCTGGCTGAAGATGGGTTCAGCTCCAGCTGTTGTGAGCAGTTGGAAAGTGAAACAGCAGATGGAAGATCTTCCTCTCTATCACTCCTTCTCTCTGTAAATCTCACTTTCCAATAAAAAATAAACAAATCTTAAAGAAAAGAAAAAGAAACAAACAAAAAAAAATTATAGTGTTGTGGGGAATTCCCAGTTAGAAGTGTTAAGCTTATCAGTTCTTGCAAAGTTGTCAGCGTGAAATTGTTATTGGTCAAGTAGGTGAAGGGCAGTGGTTTGCTTGCAGCTTCAGCTTGTTACATTTTTGAATCCGTATCCTCCTCAGGTTGTTGGGAAGTATGGCACTGTCCAACCACTATCGCTCGGAAGATCTGCTAGACGTTGACACAGCTGCTGGGGGCTTCCAGCAGAGACAGGGCCTTAAGTACTGCCTGCCTTTAACTTTCTGCATACACACTGGTTTGAGCCAATACATAGCAGTGGAAGCTGCAGAGGGCCGGAACAAGAATGAAGTTTTCTATCAGTGCCCAGTAAGTAGGAGTGTATTTAAATGTAGCTTTAAAATATGTTGTGTTGATTGAATAATTCATGTGTGTTAGGTACTATCAGGGTCATAGAATGAATATAGAGCATGATGCATTTAAATTTTAGGGCTGTTTTAACTAGAGAACTAATGTTCTGGCGTAAGGTATAGAAAGGCAAAAAAATTGTATCACTGGATTAAATTGGGGCTGCTGTAGATACAGAAGTTAACTCATACAAAGATATGGGTTAAAAGCATTTAAGCAAAAGTAATAAGCTCTTTATTGGAGTAACTAAATGTATGTCTCTACTTTTATAAAAATTTCACTTTTGGAATATTTGGATTCAAGTTCTGAGTTCAATAGAAACTTCCTTAATGTTTTTCCTTCTGATTTTAGTAGAACCACTGAAAATATAGTAGTGGCATTCATTGTTAGTTTTTGAAGATTTGTTTGCTTATTTACTTGAAAGGCAAGCAACAGAGAGAGAGGGAGTGACAGAGAGAGTGAGAGAGAGAGATCTTCAATCCATTGGCTAACTACTAAGATGGCCCCAACAAATGGAATCAGGAACTCCTTGTTGGCCTTCCACATGAGTGGCAGGGCCCAAGCACTTGGACTGTCTTCCCTCATCTTCCCAGTTGCATTAACAGCAAGATGGATCAGAAGCAGAGAACAGGAAGCAGTGTCCTGACATAGACTGACGTCATAAGCAGTGGCTTGACCAAACACACCACCTTGCTGGCCCCAAAATATTCATTTTTATGTTTCGTTTCCAGCAGTTTCTCAACTGCACAGCCTCTTCATTTCTGCCTCAGTGTGGTTTTTTAATGCAAAAGAAGTAAAATAGAAGAGGCTTTGCACAGTTTTCCATGACATTTTACTTTGTATAACATTTGCAAAATTTAGAGTTTTCATAGCGTTTAATTTTTTTAAACATTGACTTTTATCTCATTTTTTTCTTTTGGCCTGATGTTTCTAGAAAGTTGGTAGGATGTTGGCTCAGTCTCCCCGCTTACTGAAAGACAAGACTGACTTGGAATTGCTGAGGTCATTTGATCCTGAATTATTTCTTAAGGTGGCATGTTCCATAAATTCTCATTCTAGTGATTTCCTGAAGGACAATGTCCTTAGGTCACTGTCACAGTAATAGGATGCCAGGACTGTTAGTTCATTGAGAAGTGCTTGGTACTCATTTCAGGACTTGTGTGTAGGCTCTGAAAGAACTCTTTGTGTAAAAGCGCCCCTTTATGGCAGTCATTGGAGCAGAAACTGGAAGTGTGAGAAATATTAGAGAATTGTTGTTACCCTGAGGATCTTTTTATCAGCTTTGCTTAAAAGAAGATGTGAATAATGAACAATGAAAATCTAATTTATCAATTATGTTCCTTTTCTTACCTAGGACCAAATGGCTCGGAATCCAGCCGCTATTGACATGTTTATCATAGGTAGGAGAAAAACTTTTTTTTTTTATTTTCACTTCCTTTAGGTTAAAAAAAATCTTTTTAGTTGGAAAACTTTTTGAGCCTCCAGCAGATTTTATACCTGTTTTAGGAGGCTTGCTGGTGCATGAAGCATGACATCTGGGCTCTCATTAGGACAGTTCTTGTGTTTTGCTTGAATTTTGTGTATTTGAATGAAGCCGTGTGTTTTAGGACTCCTCTGTAGACTAGTAAAATGCATAGAATTGTCACGATCTTAACACAAACTTGTAACTTGCATTTTTCCTTAATTGGATATGGCGATACATAAAGCATTTTTCTCCTTTTCCTCTTTTGCTGCTAATATTATGGTATATAGGATGAAATCACATTAGAAACCTCTTGGGAGTGATAGTCTTCAGAGTAAAGTTTTATTGCCTTTAAAGAGGGTAGCATAGGTTTTTTTTTTTGTTTGTTTGTTTTTGGGTTTTTTTTGTAGTCATTTATTATACAAATATTTGTCACCAAGGTATCACAAAGAGGTCACAAAGTAGGCTTAGTTTAATTCACAAATAAATCCTGTGAAAACACATATTTTACCTTTGCAATTTACAATCTTCATATAAATTTAAAGCAGTTAAGCAACACATGAAACTATGCTGGTTAAAAAAAAAAAAACTGCAGTTTAACTCAGATGTCAGACATTTGTGAAATTAAAGTCCCTGTTGGAGAAATACTACAGAATTTGTAGAATTCGTAACCTGTTACAGTATTATTTCCCTTTATGAAAGCATCTTGATGAAACAAGCTAGCAAGAGCATGAATGTTAGAGATTGTGGTGTGCTACTTTCCCTGAGTGTCTTGGTTTCTATAAGGATTGCAGATAAGAATGGCCAGGTCACAAGTGAGGCACAGGTCAGGCAACAGGTCACACAGCTGATGGGATGCGCCCCTGGGAGCACACAGATGATGGCTGCACCCCTGGCGTGGCCAGCGGGAGCATAGATGATGGGCCATGCCCCCTGGTGTGGTCCCAGGGCCATGGGGATCACTCTGCCTGCTCCAACTGGCATTACATCCCCTGAGCCACTGTCAGACACCAGACGATAGACCAAATGAAGAAGAGCAATTGCAGCCATGAATAAATACAGCATTTCTAAGTGGACCTGAATACTGTATATATCAGACTGTGGCTAATGCAACAGAAAAAAATAGATGCATGTAAAAAAAAAAAAGAAGAAGAAAATTTTCAGAAAAGCTGGAGCTTTGAAAAAGTTAAGGATCACATACTATCCTAAAATTTAGGAATGAGAGGTTGGCTCCAGTCACCAAGAAGCAGGGTTGATAGGCAAGTCATCTTAATCTAAATTTCAGAAAAAGCTTAGAAAGAAAATCACTAGATCCTAATTAAGTAAAAATGATTATAAGTTGATGCTTAGACATAGGCATTCAAATTTCAAAAAAGTATGTCTCTGTGATTCTTAAACATACTTGTTCCTGGTATATTTTTACCTGATCATTAATTGCAATTGTATGTGCAATGTGTATGTATAGATAGATATAGATAAATCTGTGTATATATGCTTATAAGTGATGAAACACTTTATTCAAAAAGATGATAATCAGGGAAAGTTGGAAGAAAGGGCTTGCTGGAACATGTGTCTTCATTTCCAATATACTGAGTTCCTTGGTGGCTTATCCCATCAGGGCACTACATATTTCAGATAACATCTAGTTAGATGTAGGGAAGCCTCTACCGTAGACAGGATTTTTACCACCATTCTCGGCATCCCAAAGACAGATAGCAAAGACCTGCTTAACTGTACTTCGCCTCCACCTTCAGGAAACCTTCATTATAAACTGGTTTCAAAAAAGCTGACAACCATTACCTTCCAAAAGCCAATAATCACATAATCTCTTAAATCTTAAAGGGGGTATCATAGGCTTTTAAAAACCTTTCATTTGTAAACCGTTGTTCATCTAGTTTTGTTTTGCCTAGACTGCACACATTGTTGGCTCGTATTTTGACCTCCCCATATGTTAAATTTAAGGGCCCTTGCAGAGTGGGCCATCTGCATGTGACTGTTTTCTAACCAGAACATTGACTGGGGCCTCTGTTCCGTGAGATGGCACACCCAGGTTTGTAATGTACTTCAGGAAGACCCTCACCCTTACCTACTGAATTATAAAAATAAAACTTCAAATTGAGCTCTCAACTCGCACTCAGCCTGACGCACATGCTTTTTCAGGTAAGCACCTTTGGAGGCTGTGTTGATGCCCTGTGTCTTTTCTGGCACTTGTATGTGCCATGCTCTTGGGACCTCTAACCCAGGAGTGCCGCTCAGTTTAGGAACCCACCCACCACAGGGCCAAGGTCTGACAGTGCTCTGTGGCAGTAGGGTTCCTCCAAGAGCAAGAGGCAAAGCGAGGGGCCTAAAGGACACTGAGAGGACCTAAGGTTGGAGGTTGATGGTGAGAGGAGAGAGAAAGCGGGTTCCTCAAAGCTGCCTTGACAGAGCCCCAGGACTAGCAAAGAGTCTGCAAATCATGGCCTCATTTTTTTTAAGCCTGCCCAACAACATAGAAATTGCATCTTTAAAAAAAAAAAAAGATTTATTATCAGAAAGCAAAATTTACAGAGACAAGGAGCAACAGAGATCTTATGTCTGTTGGTTCTCTCCCCAAGTGGCCACATCGGCCAGAACTGCACTGATCCAAAGCCAGGAGCTTCTCTGGGTGTCCCATGCGGGTGCAGGGTCCCAAGGCTTTGGCCTTCCTCGACTGCTTTCCCAGGCCACAGGCAGGGAGCTGAATGGGAAGTGGAACAGCTGAGATATGAACCGTCACCCATATGGGATTTTGACGCATGCAAGGCAAAGACCTTAGCCACTAGGCTATCACGCCAGCTCCCCACCCTTTTTTTAAAATTTCCTCCTGATGCAGTTCCATAGGCTCAGGGATTTTTCCCCTTCCAGCCTCCTCCATTACCCTCCTCTCCCCTGCACCGAATTCTTTTCCCATTTATTATTATGATGTATAGTCCTTCAGCAACAGACACAAGCCCATCATTCTGCTTCTTAAGTGTGTCACGACAGTTAGGTACAGACAATGATAGAGAGTTCAGCATCTGTTATCAAGATGTGTTTAGCAGTTGCAGTAGGAGTCCATCTTTGATTTGGGAGTAGAAGATGCACACCTCTGTGTCTTCCCTCCTTGGTAGGCTAAGTTTCACTCTCTTGGAATTTGGGGTAAGATGTAGGACGATGCCTCCTGGTGCTGATTTACTAATATTAGGCCAAATAGAAAGCACTAATATTATTGTTACTACTATTAATTTAGCTTATCTATTATTAATATTAGTAACTAATATAAATAGTAATATTAATTATTGTAATATTACCTATTTTTATCTTAAAGATGTTTTGATGTATGTTGTAATAAAGTAAGGCATATTTAAATACATTGTGCCAATTTTATGCAAATATTGGAAATTAATTTTTTATTTGTGTAACATTTTACTCCATAATGTATAGAAAATGATTTTTAATCAAATAAATTTTTATTAAGAGGAATTACTAGTTCTAAAAATACAGTTGTGCCTCTTATGAATTTTAGTGACATTATTTCAATACAAAGGTCCTTAATATCTTCCTCATAGATGATGAGTAGTCTTTGTATCTAGTAGTGTTTAATAAGTATTAGGCCAATGCACCATTAATAGACACTGAAAAAAGAGCCAACTCTTAGAGTTTATACCTTCCCTCCATTTTTTTTTCTGTTTTTAGTTTTTGGAGAGAGACAGAGCTCCAGTTCACCAGTTCCCACCTCAGATGCCACAGCTGCGGGCGTGGGGTTACAGCTGAGGCCAGAGATGGCGTGGGGAGCTGAGAACTTAGTCATGGCAGGAACCCGGTGACTCAGGCTGTCACTGCTGCCTCCCAGGCTCTGTGTTAGCAGGAAGCTGGAGTGTGGACTAGAGACAGGTGTTGAACGCAGCCACCCCGGTAAGGGACGCACACATTTTTAAGTGTTAGGCCAGTATCCGCCCCACCTTCTCTCAATTGATGCTTTAAAAACTAAAGCTTTTTACCCTGATAGCAATCAAGTGATATCTTCTGTTATTCCCCAAATAGGTTAGTTGATAAGCACTATTAATTTAACACCTGCCATTCAGTGTGGCAGAGTGCAGAAGCTGGGTGCACTGAGGACAAATTGTAAAGACTTCATTGATGAATGCATTACCATGCACTGGGCACTGAGACACATTAGTAGTAACTGCTCAAATCTGGTATGTACAGCAGTCACCCTAACTCATCTAAATGTTGTTATTGAGTCAAGACCACACTCTGCATTCTTCCAGTCATTGGTCCACTCACTAGATCAGGGGGAGGAATCTGTTTTCTGCCCAAAATTATCAACAGAAAATGAGCCTGTGTTATTTCTTTACTGAATTTCAAGTCCTGCCTGTGGTTGCCTTGGCAAGGTTAGCTAAAATGATTTCTTGGGTCTTAAAAATGTATTTGAGGGGTCTGGCGCCGTGGCCTAGTGGCTAAAGTCCTCGCCTTGAACACGCCGGGATCCCATATGGGCACCGGTTCTAATCCTAGCGGTTCCACTTCCCATCCAGCTCCCTGCTTGTGGCCTGGGAAAGCAGTTGAGGAGGGCGCACAGTGACTGAACTAGCTAATATTCCACCTGTAGTGCTGTCATCCTGTATGGGTGCTAGTTCATGTCCCAACTGCTCTGCCTCCAACCCAGCTTCCTGTTTATGTACTGGGAAAAGCAGTGGAGAATGGTTAAAGTCCTTGGGACCCTGCAAGCCACATGGTAGACCCTGAAGAAGCTCCTAGCTCCTGGCTTCTGGCTTCAGATCCACTCAACTCCAGCTATTGCAGCTATGTGGGGAGTGATCTAGCAGAAGGAAGATCTCTAGCTCTCCTCCCCCTTTCAAATAAAGTAAATAAATAAAGCTTTTTAAAAAATATTTGTTTTTGGGGCCCGGCACAGTAGCCTAGTGGCTAAAGTCTTTGCCTTGCATGTGCCAGGATCCCATATGGACGGATGCCAGTTCTAATCTGGCAGCTCCATTTCCCATCCAGTTCCCTGCTTGTGGCCTAGAAAAGTAATCAAAGACAGCCCAAAGTTTTGGGATCCTGCAGCTGAACAGGAGACCCAGAAGAGGCTCCTGGCTGCTGCTTTCAGATCACCTCAGATCCGGCCATTGCAGCCACTTGGGGAGTGAATCATCAGATGGAATATCACTCCTCCTATCCTCTCTGTCACTCCTCTCTGTGTGTCTGACTTTCCAATAAAAATAAAATAAATCTTTTTTTTTTTTTTTTAAAGATTTATTTTTATTATTTTTTATTGGAAAGGCGGATATACAGAGAGGAGAGACAGAGAGGAAGATCTTCCGTCCGATGATTCACTCCCCAAGTGAGCCGCAACGGGCCGATACTATGCCGATCCGAAGCCAGGAGCCTCTTCCGGGTCTCCCACGCGGGTGCAGGGTCCCAAAGCTTTGGGCCGTCCTCGACTGCTTTCCCAGGCCACAGGCAGGGAGCTGGAAGGGGAAGCGGGGCTGCCGGGATTAGAACCGGCGCCCATATGGGATCCCGGGCGTGCAAGGCGAGGACTTAACCACTTGCGCCACCGCGCCGGGCCCAAATAAATCTTTTTTAAAAAATATATTTTGAAAGGCAGAGTTACAGTGAGAGGGGAAGAGACAGAGATCTTTCATCCACTGGTTCATTCTCCAAATAGTCACAACAGCTAACATAGAGCCAGGCCAAAGCCAGGAGCTCCACCCCGGTCTCCCAGGTGGCTGTCAGGACTCCAAACACTTGGATCGTCTTCCCCTGTTTTTCTCAGACCAGTAACCTGGAGCTGGATCAGCAGTGAAACATCCAGGGTGTGAACCTGCACCTATATGAGGTGCTGGCAGTTACAGGAGGTAGTTTTACCGCTGTGACACAACACTGACCCCTCTCAGGCAGCTCCCCCCCCAACACTCTAACATGGATTACTGGGCTGTTGGTAGTGGTTCTGTTCTGCTTGAGGTGGTCCTTCAGAACCTGGAGGACTGCTGTGCAGTCGAGTCTATAAAGCTGTGCAATTAGACTGCTCTGTGGCTGGCTCCATGTGAGGCACCCCATGGTGCCATGTCTGACTTCCACACTGAGCCGGACTTTGGCCAGGATTTGGTGCATGAGTCACGGTGCCCCTGGACCAGGGATGCCCCCTGGTCATCTGAGAATGGGTACTGATGCTGTTCAGGTAGCTTCTTTCCACCCATAGCTGATATTTCTTTTTTATATATATATTCTAGGAATTATACACAGAAGAATTTCTACCCTTGTAATCAGAATATCTTAAAGTTTAAAAATAAATTATGTAGTAAGAAGTGTAAAGAACTACTGTGAAGGTAGTTGTTGGATTCCTTAGCAGTAGTTGAATGAGGGAAAGAGGCAAATCCCAAGGAATCAAGTGGGTAGAAAAGAGACTAGAAACTGAACTGATGAAGAAGTGAAACTATGTAAGTTTTCCTTGTTTTGATATCACATCGTAAGCATGAAAACTATAATTGCTTTATGTGTACATGTAACAGACTTTGTGTGTCCTTTTCTCCCCGGCCCTGGTTTACAGGTGCTACTTTCACAGACTGGTTTACTTCTTACGTCAACAATGTCGTGTCAGGCGGCTTCCCCATCATCAGAGACCAAATTTTCAGGTAGTTCATTTGTCTGATTAAAATGATTTTCTCTCTCTTTCTCTCTCACACACATGCACAAAGATCATGAGATGAAGCTTCCCAAGAAATTTAGTATCAGAACCACTCAGTTTCTTAAATGTTACTCTTTTCTTCTTACTTGAGCCAAAACACTCAAACGTATAAACAGCCAGTATTTTGCTTTTCTTGAAGAATTAAGACAGAAATCTAATTTTGGTTTGATGTTATAGCTTTGATAATAACCAATGTGGTTTCTTTTGAAAAAGGAAAAATCCATTTTCCAATTAATAGATTTATTAGGAATAGCAAGTCAGCAACTATTAACTTCTGGTAAATACTGTTTATTATCATTATATGGAACACTCAAGTATAATAGGTAGTTTTACTACCAGAACCATTCTTAAGCAGGTATAGCTGGGTTTCCAGATGTCTCGGAAGTTGTCTTAGCTCTAAAAACTGAAATCATTTGAATAAGTCATCTAAAAGATGATCAATATTATTTAAGCGATTTTTAAGATTTTTTTTAAAGATTTATTTATTTTTATTGGATAGGTAGATTTGCAGAGAGAAGGAGCAACACAGATGTTCCGTGCACTGGTTCACTCCCCAAATGGCTGCTATGGCCAAAACTGAGCTCAGCTGAAGCCAGGAGCCTCTTCTGGGTGTCCTATATGGGTGCAGCCTTGGGAACCTGCACCCACTTGAGAAACCTGGAAGAGGCTCCTGGCTCCTGGATTTGGATTGGCTCAGCTCTGTTACAGCCACTTGGGGAGTGAACCAATGGATGGAAGACCTTTCTCTGTGTCTCTGCTTCTCTTTGTAAATCTGCCTTTCCAGTAAAAATAAATAAATCTTTAAAAATAAAAAAGAAAAAATAAATAAATAAGATCTCTGTCTCTTCTCTGCTTCCCCCTTCCCTCTCCCCTGCCCTGCTGTAACTTATTTAAATAAGTAAACAAAATTTTGACCCTGCAGTAAAGTACATTATTTAGCCTTTTATTTTGAAGCCTTATGTTTTGTCTAGTTGTCGTTGACTTTAAGATCGTTATTTTTTTAATTATGTAGATATATTCATGATCCGGAATGTGTAGCAACAACGGGGGATATCACAGTGTCAGTGTCCACGTCGTTCCTGCCAGAACTCAGCTCTGTGCATCCGCCGCACTACTTCTTCACGTACCGGATCAGGTGAGAACTTGAAAGGGGATTACTTCTCATTTGCTAATGTGGGCATGTCCTGTGGGTGTTTCAGTATTGCCCCATTTGAGCATTTTGAAAGACAGCATATGCTGAAGTTTGATGGAAGGTGCAGAAGTTCTCTGTGATATATTTTCCTAAAGGAACTTGGCTTAACATTGGTTTCTGTTATTTAAGGCATATTGTATCAGGTACTACAAAAACTGAATCGCTGTTGTCATCATTGTTAAAGCTCTATATTATTAGTGCTGTTCAGCATATAGAAGTAATCAAATTGCCTAAGGTAAACAACACACTTTCAATTTCATTTTGTCTGCCTATATACAGTTAAAGGTATAGAAACTATTGTTGAGTGCTTCATATAGTCAGACATGGTACTAGGCACTGAATTTGATAAAATAAAAATGCTTTCTTTCACTTCATAAGTATAGAATTCTTACCACCAGAGATAAATTATCTAAGGAATTAATATATATATTAATTTATATTTTAAAATATATTTTTTATGTTTTATATGTTTATATGAATGTATTTTAAATGTTTGGGATACTTGATTTTAAAGAATATGTGTAATATGATTTACTTTATTGATTATTTTTTATTATTTATTTTTATTTTGTTTTATTTATTATGATTTATTTATTTGAAAGGGAGGGAGAAGGATCTCCATGTATAAGTTCACTCACCAAATGCCTGCAGTAGGGGCTGTGCCAGGCTACAGCATGCCAGTGCCCCGTGTGGATGGCACGGACCTCAGTTTGCTTGAGCCATCATCTGCCACCTCCCAGGATGCATAAGCAGGAAACTAGATTTGAAGCAGAGTACCCTTGTCTTGAACCAGCCCTTTAGTATGGGATGCAGGCACCCCAGGTGGCGGTTTAGCCATGATGTTTTAAATGATCTTTATATATTTATTTAATTGTTTGGCTGGTTGGTTTTTTTCCCATTTTGCTTCACAGCAGAGAGAGAAGCAGAGAAATCTTATGTATGCTGGTTTACTTTCCAAATCCCACAAGAGTTGGGCCGGGCAAAGTCAGGAGCCAGCTTGTGTCTCCCACATGGGTGGCAGACTCAGGCCCCCATCACCCGCTGCTTCGCAGGGTGCACATTAGCAGGACGCTGGATCAGAATTGGAGTAGCCAGGGCTTGAACCAGGATGTAGGCATCCCGAGTGGTTACTTAATGATGGCATCAAACTTTAGCCCTGATTGTCTTCATTTCTATGGAAATTCCACTTTCATGGAAATAAATTTAATATACTGTAGCTTTAAAAAAAAAAAGATTTATTGGGCCTGGTGCTATGGCTTAGTGGCTAAATCCTCGCCTTGCATGTGCTGGGAACCCATATGGGTGCCAATTCATGTCCTGGCTCCTCCACTTCCAATCCAGCTCCCTGCTTGTGACCTGGAAAAACAGTAGAGGACAGCCCAAAGCCTTGGGACCCTGTACCTGCATGGGAGACCTGGAAGAATCTCCTGGCTCCTGGCTTTGCATCAGCTCAACCATTGCAGCCTCTTGGAAAGTGACCTAGTGAACAGAAGATGTTTCTCTCTGTAAATCTGTCTTTCCAATAAAAATTAAATAAATCTTTAAAAATTTTTTATTTATATATTCATTTGAAAGGCAAAGTTATAAAAGAGAGAGGAAAAGAAAATCTCTCATCTCCTCAATTTCCAAATAGCTGTAACTGCCAGGGCCAGGCCGAGCTGAAGCCAGAAGCCAGGAACTCCCATTCAAGTCGTCACGTGGGTGACAAGGGCCCAAGCACTGGGGCTGTCAACGGCTGCTTTCTCGAGTGCATTAGCAGCGAGTTAGATCAGAAGTGGAGCCATTGGGATTTGAACCAGCCCTCTTTTGGGTTGAAGCATAGCAGGCGGTGACCTAAGCTGCTGTGCCACAGTGCCTGGCCCCTAGCAGTGTAGCTTTTAAGGAAAAGAAGAAAAAGCATAACAGCTGAATCTGTGTCTCTGTTGTCCCCTTCCTTTCTCCAGAATTGAAATGTCAAAGGACGCACTGCCTGAGAAAGCTTGTCAGCTGGACAGTCGTTACTGGAGAATAACAAATGCCAAAGGGGATGTGGAGGAAGTCCAGGGGCCTGGAGTAGTTGGTATGTATCCCAAGATGTAGGTTTCTACATCAGTTGCTCTAGCCAACTTTCAGGCTTTGCATTGTAGTCCTCCTAAATATTAACTTCTCTAAAACTGTAGCAAACTCATTTATTCAAGGACTGATTTCCCTTTATTTGTAGGTCACCTAGGGTTTCTTGCTAGTACTGTTGTGTTTTTTTTTTTCAACTGGTTGATTACTCATCATTATAATCTAAAGATTAAAAGGTACATAAGGGGTAGTTCTGATTCCCAGGCTGCTCCACGGGTTCCCAACCTAGGCCGATTTCACAGCCCGAGAAGGAGGGACATCCGGGCCGGCGCCATCTCCACGTCAGGAACGCTCTGGGCCAGGTTCACCTTAAATGCCCATCGTCTCTCCGGCAACCCCCCAGCTCCGGCAAGTCCCCACCCCACAGTCACTTCCTCAGGGCCGTGCGGCACTCCACTGCTGGGATTGGCCGTGCACCCTGTCTGTTCCGAGGGTTCTGGGGCCTTGACTGTGCACTTTCCCCAGGCTACTGCCTAGGAGCCAGCTGCAGGCTGGGCGGGTGGGATGGGGAGCAGAGTCCAGGGCAGCGGAGCGTGGGGACTTCTCCATGTTCACCAGTGTCCCTGTGAACCTACAGGAATAAACACCCGGGGCTTCTGCCCCGTCCCACTCGGGTTCCTGACTTCTGCCTAGCATTTAATAAAACGAACAAAGCAAAAAACAGAGGACCACACATTATCCTGAGTTCACTGGGGGCCAAAAACATCCCAGTTTGGGCCTCAGGAACTAAAATCATTTTTTTCAAGATCTGTTGAATTTTTTTTTCCCCTGACAAAATTCTTTCCAAGCTTCAACAGAAATCCTGTAGCAGCTGCCCACCGAAGCAACTTTAAAAAGAAATAATAAAATACATAAGTTTTAAAAAAGGTACACAAGGCAGAAAGAAGAAGTTAATTTTTTATATGTCATCTTCGAAACTGTAGAGATAAAGATACAGAAGGGAAAACCATTTCAACTCAGTGGTTTCCCATGTGCTTTCACAACATGAATCACTCAGGACACCAGCACGCTTCCGTTTAGGCCTCTGTTGTCCAAGACATTCCACAGGACACAAGGAAGCAGCCAGATGAAAAAGCATAAAGTGGGCCTGGTGCTGTGGTGCAGTGGTTAAGGATCTCGCCTTGTACACCGGGATCCCATATGGGCACCGGTTCTAATCCCAGCAGCCCCGCTTCCCTTCCAGCTCCCTGCCTGTGGTCCAGGAAAGCAGTCGAGGATGGCCCAAAGCTTTGGGACCCTGCACCCGTGTGGGAGACCCGGAAGAGGCTCCTGGCTTTGGATTGGCTCAGCTCCAGCTGTTGCGGCCACCTGGGGAGTGAATCATAGGACGAAAGATCTTCCTCTCTGTCTCTCCTCTCTGTATATCCGCCTTTCCAATAAAAATAAAATAAAATCTTAAAAAAAAAAAAAACACAAGGTGCTTGAGACAGATGACAGAAATCAAATTTTTAAAGCAGATTTATTAATTTTTATTTGAAATGCAGAGTTACACAGAGAAAAGGAGAAGGGAAAGTAGGAGAAAGATAACTTCCATCTACTGGTTCACTCCCTAACGGCCGCAATGGCCAGATCTGGGTCAGTCCAAAGCCAGGAGCCAGAAGCGTCATCCAGATCTCCCACATTGGCTCAGGAGCCCAAGCCGTTGGTTCATCCTCTGCTGCTTTCCCAGACACATTAGCAGGGAACTGGTTTGGAAGCAGAGCAGCCAGGACTCAAACCAGCACCCATATGAGATGCTGGTGCCACAGGCAGAGGCTTGGCTTGCTGCACCATGGCACTGGCCTAGAGTTGAAATTTTTTTTTTTTTTTTAAGATTTATATATTTTTGGTCGCAGCATAGTGGCCTAGCAGCTAAAGTCCTCTCCTTGAACATGCCAGGATCCCATATAGGTGCCGGTTCTAATCCCAGCAGCTCCACTTCCCATCCAGCTCCCAGCTTGTGGCCTAGGAAAGCAGTCGAGGACGGCCCAAAGCCTTGGGACCCTGCACCCACGTGGAGACCTGGAGGAAGTTCCTGGCTCCCAACTTCAGCTTGGTGGAGCACCGGCCATTGCGGTCACTTGGGGAATGAACCATCAGATGGAAGATCTTCCTCTCTGTCTCTCCCCTTCTCTCTATATCTGACTTTGCAATAAAAATAAATAAAATTTTAAAGAAGATTTATTTATTTATATTGCAAAGTCAGATTTACAAAGAGAAGTAGAAATAGAGAAAGATCTTCCATCTGGAGGTACAGTCCCCAAGTAGCCACAATGGCCGGAGCTGAACTGACCCGAAGCCGGGAGCTTCTTCTAGGTGTCCCATGCAGGTGCAGAGTCCCAAGGCTTTGGGCCATCCTCTACTGCTTTCCCAGGCCACAAGCAGGGAACTGGATGGGAAGTGGAGGAGTCAGGACATGAACCAGCACCCTTATGGCATCTCAGTGCATGCCAGGTGAGGACTCTAGCCACTAGGCTACTGCATCAGACCCTATAAATGGAATTTTAAAAACAGTTTTACTCAAAAGGCAGAACAATAGAGAGAGACAGGTGGGTTACCCCCCAAATTTTGGAACATTGAGTCCGGGGTCAAACCTGAAACCAGGAGCTCAGAATTCCATCTGGTTCTCCGTCATGGGTGGCAGGGGCCCAAATACTTGGAAGCGGCTCCATTGCTTTCCCAGGCACATTCACGGAGATGCACTGTGAACAAGCCTAGCTGGGATTTGAACTGGCGTTCCAGTGTGGGATGCCAGCATAGGCTGCTACACCACAACACCAGCCCAAGGACATGGAACCAAAAGATAAACTTATTTTGGTGCAAGCAAGCTTGATTGTTAATGCTAAACACTAAGGAATCTTGTTAATGTTTCTTTTTTTCCTTTTTTCCTTCCTTTTTCTTCCAGTTTGTCCATTGTGTAAGGACAGTACCTGTGTCTGCCGTTTTGTCTCATCTTATTACCTCGGATGCATCTTCAAAATTTTTATGTTTTAGTCTCTTGCAACTGTTAAACATGTAGATTATTCCTACCTATTTGAACCATTGTGTAAGGATAAAACTTTCATTATATATTAAGGATTGTGGCTTGAATGCCTCAAAGTCCTTTTAAAAAGAAAATGCACCATATTTTGTTTTGTTTTAGTATATGTTCTCTGCTACATGATAGAGAATTTGGTTGGAGATTACAAAAGCAAAACAAACAAAAAATACTGAGGAATAAAATATTTGTTCATAATTCTATCATTGTTAACATCTTGTCATATTTCCCTTTAGGTTTCTTCCTTGATTTGAGTTTGCCATAATTTGCATAAATCCCATAGAGAATGCACCTTCCCCGCCGTAATGAAGAACTGAGCTTTATTTGTTCGGTGATGCCCATTTTCTCTGCAGGTGAATTTCCGATCATCAGCCCAGGTCGGGTATATGAATACACAAGCTGTACCACGTTCTCGACAACGTCAGGATACATGGAGGGATATTACACCTTCCATTTTCTTTATTTTAAAGACAAGATCTTTAATGTTGCCATCCCCCGATTCCATATGGCATGTCCGACATTCAGGGTTTCCGTAGCTCGCCTGGTAAGTTAAATTTTCCTCCGGTGCTGATTGACATGACATAGAGTTAAATCCACAGAGGCTCTTTGCGATGAGGCAGACGACGATTACACAGGGTGTTGTAGAGAGGCCCACGGCGTCCGAGCCGGTACCCTAGGCAGCGCCCGAATGTGCTGCATGAGGTGGGCAAATGAACAACGTTGCTCCGCACTCCTGAGCCAGACGCTGCCCTTCTCTCACCCGCTGTTCCAGAAACGATTCTGTGGCCTCAATATATAAGAATGTGAGCTTTACCACACTCGAGTCTCCTTTGTTGTATTTTGTTTAGACTGGGAAAACAATTTCTAATGGTGTTTTTGCTAACACTTGGCAATTTAATAAAATAAACACATGCCCCATGGCAGATCATTACATAGAGTTAATGTGTAGATTTTTAACAATCTCTCTGGGATCATTTCTCAAGTCAACAAGGTATGTTTTTTAAATCTGGTTTTTAGATGCCAACAGTAACCCCTGTCTTAGGGGATGTAAAATGACTAAGTGAAATTATGAAGCTCCAGTTACACGGTAAGAATGCAATGTGGCTGATATACTTAGAAGGCATTTGATTTATAGGCATTGAATGTGCAAAAACTGCCTGTAGCTCCTGGGATGATCCTGATGGGTGGGTCTGAAATCATTCTGAGGAAATGGACATGATACTAATCTGAGCCTGAGATGACACATTCTCAATCCCAGTTTGGAAAGAGAAGGGCACTGATGAGGCCTTTCTATTGTATCTGTGCTCTGTGATGAAAAGGAGCTACATGTGGAATTGAGGAAGTGAAGTTTTTGCTTTCTTCCCAGCGGAGGACTGCTGGCATTCACCACTTCCTGTGTATCTCCTCTCAGCAGTGCTTGATGTGGCTCATCAGTGAAGCTGTCTAGGACTAGATTTTTTTTTTTTTAGTGGGAAAATTTTGAAATATTAATTTAATTTCTTTAATATTCATATTTTCTATTTCTTCTTGTTTCAGTTTTGGTAATTTGTGCCTTTCAAGGAATTTGTCCATTTCATCTAAATGTTGAATTTATTGGCGTAAAGTTATTCACAGTGTTCCCTTGATATCCTTTTAATGACTACAAGAGCTGTAGTCCTATGTCCTCTTTTGTTCTTAATATTGGTAATTTACATCTTCTCTTTGGTTCATCACTTTTATTGATTATCACTTATTGATCATTTAAAGAGAACAAGTTGGTTGTCTATTTCATTGATTTCTGCAATTTTCTTTCTCCTACTTGAGATTTAATTTGCTTTTCTTCTAGTTTTTTAAGGTACAAATTTAGATTGTTGATTTTAGAGCTTTCTTCTCAGCACTGTTTCAGCGTATTGCATAAATTGCGATGTTTTCATTAATGTTCCCATATTTCCTTTGTCAATTAATTTTTAACTATGGCTTTTCTAGAAATGTGTTAATTTCCAAACAGTTGGAGATTACTCAGTTGTATTTTGATTACTAACTCCTAATTTTATTGTTGGAGAGCTTGCTCTGTACTTGTAAAATGTATTATGGCCCAACATTATGGTCTGTCCTGGTGAATGATGCTTGTGTATTTGCAAAGAATGTATATTCTGTCATCTGGGGGGATTTACTCTATCAGTGACACCTCAGTTGATTGACTCAATGTATTCCAAGTCTTTATGTATTTATTGAGTTTTGAAGAAATTTCCCACTAAAATTATGGTTTGTGTATTTCTTTGTTTAGTTTTGCTAGATGTGCCTCATGTATTTTGAAATGCTATACTTGTATGCGAGTATGCTTAGAAATGTTATGTCTTTTGGGTGAAGTGATTCTTTTATCATTATGAAACCACCCTCTTTAGCTTTGATACTATCCCATGTCCTAAAATTGAAAGACTATTGAGGTTTGCTTGGCAAGCTGTTGAGCAATTGTTTGGCCGCCTTGATCCTTTTGAGACGTGTTTTAATATTTGGTAGGGTGGTTCTCAAGTAGCCTATACTTCATGGTAGTGTGGGTCTCAACCGTCCCTGGAACTCTTAGTACTGACTGAAGACACCAAAGAACTCCTGCTTTGGTGGCTTATGTGGATATTCACCATATTAGAGGCTCAGACTGAAATTTTTCCATATTTACTTACTACAATTTCCTTTTCAAATTATAATAATAAACTGACTTCAAGTTCAGCCTTCTCTCAACTGTGTTCTTAATTATTCAGAGTTATAGTTTCTTCCTCACCAAGAATAATCATGTCCAATCCTGACCTGCCTTGTCAAAAATGCTTCCTGTCAAGCATGAGAAATCGATGAAAGGAAATGAGAATTCTGGGTTTATTTCTAATCAACACAAAAAGAGCAATTTGTTATATCGCTTGAACTTCTCCTCTTTAAATAAGTTTCCTTGATTTGGAAATTGAATTGTTCCTTTTTTGTCCTGTAACAGTCTGTCTTAAGAAGGGAAAATGCTACTTTTTAATATACCACAGGTTGGTCTTGTTCTCGGTCCCGGGGGTTGGCTTATTTCGCTTTTGTAGGACACATTTCCAAGGCTCCTGGTGATGAGTTCTCTCCACTGTTGTCTTGTCCCTTCCTACTGTTTGTTTGTACTTTTAGCAGTATTACCTAGCCACACTGCTTTCCTTTAACAGCTTTCCTTTTTTTTTTTTTCCTTCTTCAAGATAATCAGACCTCCTAAGTATTCTGCTTTTGAATTTCCCAAGCTTTCCTCCTTCCTACCTTTGGGTTTCCTATGGCAAAGTCTTCATTCCTTATATTAAGAAAAAAATCCAAAGACACAAATAATGAAATATCCTGAAAATCATATCTGTGTATATTTTTTTCTGAGTGTTACTGTTGTTGTTAGCATTATAATAAATTCAGAATGACACAATTCCTTTCTCCTACATTAATTCATTTGCTTTTTCAACAAATGCTTATAGAGTACTATAGTAAACAATATCATGAAAATCCCTGCCTTGGAATTCTGACATTCTAATTGGAAGAGACAAATCGTAACAAATGCACAACCATGTACTTAAGTCAAGTAATAACCAGTGCTAAGGAGGAAAATCAAATTGGAGGGAAATAGTGTTCTGTGAGGCTGTAAGGTAGAAGTGTGGCAGCAGAGGCCTGGACACACAGGGAGCCTGGTGGGGATGGGGAGTGAGAGCTCCAGCCACAGGGCGGCAGGTGCACCGACGCCATACTGAGCTTGGTGCGCTGAGACCCAGGAAGCCTGAAACCCAGGAAGTCCGTGTGGCCGGCGCGCAGCTAAGAAGCAAGAACGTGTGAAGACGATCAGAGGCGGAGTGGGTGCTGGGCCGTGTGATACCAGGAAAGCCCTGCTGGAAGGAGCTGTGCTCCCGTCTTGCCCAGGGTTTCTGGTGTTTCCCAGATTGTCACCCTTCTCCCCCCAGCTCTTCATAATTCTGTCCTCTTTAACACTTCATCTTATTGACTCTTCAAACCTGTGAGAGAAAACTGACAGCAGAGTAAGTCAAGATGTGATAAGAGAAACAGCAGAACTGGAGCTTCCGGACGACCTTCTTCAGATACTCTGTGTTCAGCATCTCTACTGTCCTATTACTAGTCTCTCCCACAAGTTAAAGGTAGAGGTAACCCTTTCCCTGCACTGTGGGCTGACCTCAGCCCCCACTTCCTGATGAGTCGAGGAAGGGACACTGCCACTTCTGAGGCTGCATGAAAAAGACACCGCACTGCTGAGCTGCCACGTCAGACGTCCAGCTGCCAGGAGGTCGGCTTGCTGAAGGGACTGTAAGGGACACCCCACAGCCTCCACCGTCCAGTCTCCAGAGCTGGAAGCCTCCCCACACTTGTGAGTGAGGAAGCCCTTCCTGGGCCACCGTCTAGCTGCAACATCATGAGAGACCCCAAGACCAAACCACCTCATTGAGTACTTTCCAAACACCCAGCCCTCAGGAACCATGAGGGATAATATGTTTGTTGTTTTAATCCATTTTTTAAAAAAGTAGGAGTGGTTTATTCGTTTTAAGTGGAGGCTACCGATGATTGCCTTTTTTGATGATGTGTGTGTATTGTAGCTCGCAAATCTATTAGACCTCTTGCTGGCAGTGCACAAAAGTTACCAGTAGAGGTCACACCTGAGTAATAATTGCACATCTTATTTCTAAGTCTATAGATAATAAAGAATCATTATTTAATACATTACTAAAAAGCTTGGGAAAACTTTTCTTGGTTTACTGGGAGTTACCTGTTGGCTACCTTATATGAATTACCAATTATTGTATTAGAATTAAAACCTGTCTTAGTGGAGCATTTTAACTATCTAAGTGTCTACCTGTGAAACACACATTTAACCTGTGACACAAAAACATACCACAGAATCTTGTATCGGCATGTGCACTATAAAATGCACTGTGGGAACATATGAAAAGTTACATTTGATATGTCTGGGCTCTAGAATAATGAGAATTTGCATTAAATAACTATTTTTGAAAAACTACTGGGCTCTCTTCTTATCAAAAGATTATTTTCTTCTTTCAAGGAAATGGGTCCTGATGAATATGAAGAGATGGAAGAAGAGGAGGAGGGAGAGGAGGAAGAAGACGATGACGATTCAGCTGACGTGGATGAGTCAGAAGATGATGAGGAGGAGAGACAGAGGAGAGTGTTCGACGTTCCCATCCGCAGACGCCGCTGTTCGCGCCTCTTTTAGCCAGCCCTGTGCCCACAGAGGCACTGGGTGGTCTCGTCACACCTCAGGCGTGCTCAGCATGTAGCAGGGACACCGCCCGGGCCTGGGTTCCAGGCCACGCTGCAGTGGGCACTGCATCGCTCTGGTTTGCTCTGTGTTTTTGAGGTAGAAGAGGAAATAGGATTTTTTTCTGCCTCTTTCAGAGTTCGTGGGAGAGTAGTTCTCTAGCCAACGGACACACAGTTCTTTATTTTTCAGATATTTTATATTTACGGAAGTACGGAAGTGGGGAGGAAATTGTTTTTGAATATAGATTTGCGATGTAGCAGAAATACCTATACAAGGATAGAGAAGAGTTGATGAATGAGAGAATCTGTGATAAGACTTCTTACAGTTGTAAGTTATTTGGAAATGAACAAAATTTGTAATTAGGCTCATCCATTCTAGCAAATAACATTTTGTATTCATAGGGAGCTGATCAAATAACTTACATGCTAGTGGTGTGTCCTTTAGACAATCCTTGAATTTAAAGTCTCTCACTAAGACCTTGAATTTAAAGTTTTCATCACCACAATCTTGAGTTTAAAGTCCTTTATCAGATTATTCAAAAATGCATTTTTGAGATGCAGTGTTAAAGTATGTAGTATGTTGTTTATTAACAAAAGACTTCATGATGTCTCCTGTAGTCTAGATGTGTAAATACTATTTCTGTCTTGTTTCTCTTTTCTACACTTGACTTTGTGACAAGTGAATGAATTTTATGTAGGATTGAATGTTTTCCTGAAACATGGATTTTTTTTTCATATTTATATAATTGAGAGTTTGGAATGAAATCCTTAAAGTGTCAAAAGTTCAACATTTTAAAAGTTCTGATCCTGTATTTTATATGATTGCCTATTTTCCATAAACTAATATTATCATTACGCTTAAAAGACAGAAGGTAGAACTGATACTCATTGTCTTGTTGCCGTCCTGCGGCAGATCTGCCTCAGGTCATCTCCTGGCTGACTGGCCTGCTCGTCCCTCCTGGGGGCTCCACTCTTGTGTAAAGAAACCTGGAGGAGGAGGAAGCGGGATTCAGGGTTGTGGAGCACCGTCGTGCCCTGCATGATGGTGTTTCAGTTGACCTTGACCACATACACACTGGAGGATGGCAGCTACCTGATACAGCTCATGTTGACCTTCCTTGTCTCTAGGCTGCGTCCTTTGTCCGTGTGCTTGACTTAGCCCAGAGTTTCATCAGCACCACTAATTGTACAAAACCCAATGTTACTATTTCCAGTAAGAAGTCATGGTGAGCAGCTAACCTAGAAATGGGATTCAAGGCTATTAATGGATGGGGCTTGTCACCTGTCAGGCGCGACTATTGTCCCCTCGTCATGATTTTGAAGAACCAGAACCAAGTGCCGGGAGCTGTGGAAGGATCTGCTTCATAGGAGGCAGTAAGATGAGCAAGAACTCCGGAAGGGCCTGCCTCTAACAGAGGGATCTGGAGACTGAAGGCCACATAGACGGACTCCCTCTCAGCACCGTGACAGTCATGGCCAAAACAAAGCCAAGACTAGACCTGACAGCCATATTAAATTTACCACTGGCTCTGGGTAGTACAAGTGATTTGTGAATTATTACTGCATAATATGAAAGGGTGGCAAGTCTTCAAGTACTCATGTGAAGGTGGAGGAAGGAATTTTTGGAAACTAGATAAACAGTGCATGGAAATTATTTGTCAGCAAAATATCATCTAGGTTTGCATAAGTATACTGTGTAATGGCTACACAACAATGAAATTGCCTAACAAAAGTTTATTTAATAAGGTCTTTCACAGTCCTGTCCTGTCCATAACAAATTCTGCTATGTCTTTCCATTTTAAAAAATCAATTTATTTTAATTTAGATTGCTGTAGCAAAATACTTAGTCTGGCTAATTAGATACGCATTACTTAGAGTTCTGGAGGCTACAAGGCCTAAATTCAAGGCAGCAGCAGCAGACTGGGGGGTCTGGTAAAGGTCTGCTCTCCTGCTTCACAATGGCCTCAGGGAGATAGAAGCAGCAAACGCAACTCCCTCAGGCCTCAGGAAGGGACCCCAAGGCCAACTGTGAGGGTCCCATCCTTATTACCTAATCATCCCATATTGAATTTTTCAGAGAACACACTCAGTTCCTAGCACCAGCCACTTATTTTTTTTAAAGCCAAACATTTAAAAAAAAAAAAAGTGTAATTGAAAATTCACTAATGGTGGTAATTGAACTGGCGCCAAGATCGTTTTCTTTTGTGTTTCTTCTCTTTCTTTTCTTTTCTTTCCCACCTTTCTCTTTTCTAGATGAACTCTGTTTCCAGGGTGCTCATAATATACACTGTCTCCCCTTGCAAACCCATCCAGCTCTGGCTTTTCACGGTGCTCCAAGTTTGCACATCCCCCTCATTAGAACTTTTGTTCTCCTTATATGTTATATGAGTGATATCTAGTTCATCTCAAGGAATGGCTGTTGATAATGGCCTTGTGCTTAAATTCATTGGCAAGGATGCTTACGAATGCATAAGAGGGGCTGCCACTGTGGCGTAGTGATTAAGATACTATCTTAATGCTGCATCCCATATGGGTGCTGTTTTTTTGGTTTTTGTTGTTTTTTGGTTTTTTGAGGCTGTTCTACATATTTTTTTAAAAGTTTTTTTTTTTATTGGAAAGAGAGGAAGATCTTTCTGATGATTCACTCCAGAAGTGGCTGTAACAGCCAGAGCAGAGCCATTCTGAAGCAAGGAGCCAGGAGCCTCCCGGTCTCCCACATGGGTGCAGGGTCCCCAGACTTTGGGCCGTCCTCAACTGCTTTCCCAGGCCACAAGCAGGGAGCTGGCTGGGAAGCGGGCTACCAGGATTAGAACCAGCACCCACCCATATGGGATCCCGGAGCCTGCAAGGCAAGGAGTTTAACCACTAGGCTACCATGCCAGGTCCCACAGGCTGTCCTACTTCAGATCCAGCTTCCTGCCGATGTGCCTGGGAAGCAGTGGAAGATGGCCCAAGTGCGTGAGTTCTTGCACCATGTGAGAGACCGGGAGAAGCTTGTGGCCTTGGTCTGCCCAGTGCTGGCTGCTGGTACCATCTGGGGAATGAACCTGTAGGTACAAGGACTCTGGCTTTCCCCTCTCTCTGTGATGTTGTTGCCTTTCAAATAAATCTCTCTTTTTATAAAAGATTATTTCACTTTATTAAAAGGCAGATTTACAGATAGAAGGATAAACAGAGAGCTCTTCCATCTGCAGGTTTACTTCCCAAATCCCTGCAACAGCTGGAGCTGAGCTGATCTGAAACCAGGAGCTTCTTCTGGAACATGAGTGCAGGTTCCCAAGGTTGGGTCGCCATCTGGCAGCTTTCCCAGGCCATGAGCAGGGAGCTGGATCAGAAGTAGAACAGTAGGGTACGAACCCCATATGCGTTGCCGTTGCTTCTAGGTGAAGGATTAGCCAGTTGAGCCATTGCGCCAGCCCCATAAAAAAAAATCTTGAAAAACCAGCAACAGCAAAACAAACTTGCCCGAATCAGAATACTGATGGAACAAACACCATTTCTGGCAGTGAGGTCCTTTAGAATACCTTTAAAAAGAAAGATTTGTTTTTCTTGAAAAGTCAGATATACAGAGAGGAGGAAAGACAGAAAGGAATATCTTCTGTCTGGTAATTCACTCTCCAAGCGGCCACCACGGCCAGAACTGCACCCATCCAAAGCCAGGAGCCCAGAGCTGCTTCCAGCTCTCCCACGCAGGTTCAGGGTCCCAAAGCTTTGGGCCATCCTCAACTGCTTTCCCAGACCACAGCAGGGAGCTGGATGGGAAGCAGGGCTGCTGGGATTAGAACTGGTACCCATATCGTATCCTGGCACATTCAAGGCAAGGACTTTAGCCACTAGGCTACCACGCCAAGCCCAGAATACCATTTATTTTTAACTGTTGTCTAAAGTCCCAGATGAGACAGATACTAGAGTTTATTTTGTGAAGAGTCAGAGGTGAGTAGTTCAGGATTGGAATCTTATCAGAGGTGTCATGAGCATTGCAGGTTCATTCAGTGATTTTCGTTCTGCAAACTTAGCACAAGAGTCATTGAGTTATTTTTATTTGAAAGACACAGCAAGAGGGAAAAAGATCTAGCTCCTAGTTGACTCCGGGATGGCCAAAGTGGTCAGGTCTGAGCCAGGACAAAGCCAGGAACAAGGGATTCCTTCTGGGACTCCCACCGCCGTTCCAGACGCGCTGGCAGGAGCTGGTTTGGCAGTGGCACTCTGATATGGGTTGTTGGCATCACATGCAGTGGCTTAACTCGGCATTCAGCACTGGCCCTATCCTAAGACTGCTTTCAAAGGTCACCCACCCCATCGCTGCAAGCTACAGATGCACTGTAATTCAAGAAGGATGGTAAAAGAAGGGGAAAATGACGTGGCAAACAACAATATGAAGCACAAGTACAAGTAGCTAGGTGTCTAGCAGTCACACTGGGGAGCGTAACTGGGGAAGTGCTAACGCTGGACCTGGAATGAAGGAATCGTGCTGCCAGTCGCTATAGGCCTGAATTAGGGCAGGGGCAATCGTGGTGGAGCGAAGAGGGCATGGAACTGAGAGATCCAAATGGTAAAGTAAGCACAAGATGGTGACGTGGAAGGAGATGCAAGAAATCCCAACTATCCCCTGCCTGCACCCTCTAGGGGCCTAGTCCTGCCCACATGCCCCAAGGTCACTGAGTGTGAGGCGAGCAGTGTCCTTTGGCCACAAGAACCACCGGGGACAAGTTGGTGAAGAATGTCCCTTTATTCAGCCCAAGTTCCAGGTTTGTAAAGGTTTAAGAAAAGGGAAGGTAAGAGGGCATTTTCAGGCAGTCCCTTCACCCAGTAATGACACTGTGATTGGATGAAAGGTGCACCCAATCCTGTTGACTTTCCAGTTACCCCAGAGGTCTCATTCTGTAAGCAGGGTTGGAACACCTTCAGCCAGGGCAGACAAGCTCTAGGTCTTGCCCACTGGGCAGCAGGCAGAGACCTGGGGGTGATTTCCCACATCTCTCCCCTCTACTTTTTGAACAAATTCTACCACCATGACTTCCACCAAAATGGATGGCCCTTGGACCCAGCAGAGTGGCTTAGTGGCTAAAGTCCTCACCTTGAATACACTGGGATCCCATATGGCACCAGTTCTAATCCTGAAAGCCCCACTGCCCATCCAGCTCCCTGCTTGTAACCTAGGAAAGCAGTCAAAAACAGCCCAAGGACTTGGGACCCTGCACCCTTGTGAGAGACCCGGAGGAGGCTCCTGGCTTCGGATTGGCTCAGCTCCCACCGTTAGAGTCGCTGGGGGAGTGAACTATCATACAGAAGATCTTCCTCTGTCTCTCCTCCTCTTTGAATATCTGACTTTGCAATACAAATAAATAAATCTTAAACCAAAAAGGGTGGGGGGGGGGGCGGGAACAGCTATTTGCTGTCCTGCAGCAATGGACTTGGTGTACAGAGCCTGAAATTAACACATGTGAATTACCATCTCGGTGAGCTAGCCGAAATTTATTAGTGACATCAGACTTTCATAGATTGAGAGTCACATAGGATAAAGGAGGAGGTATTGAGCTTAGGTTGTTCTCATAAACCTTTCTACCAAACCCAGCAATTGTTTCTACACCCTTGTTTGGAACCATCCTTTGGTTTGTATATCCCACCAAGTGTTCTCATTCAAATGACATCCATTCAGTTTTCATATAAATGATATCCAATCAGTTATACAAATGGTATCCAATCAGTTGTTCTCATGCAAATGTTATGCTATCAATTGTAATCGCTTTGCTGTCCTTCTAGAATCACAATGTCCTTCTACAGATGGCCTTATATCCTGTGATTCAAAGGTTTTCGTATAACATTTGAAGGCAAAATTTAACTTAAGAACATCAATTGTTACAGCATCATGTGGCAGGCAGAATGCCTGTCACAACAATGTTAAATCTTGTTGCTATTAAGTCCAATTTCTGTTGGAAGGTCAGTCCTGTGGGTCTATAAGTCGTTGACCTAGTTTTGAGTCCCAAGGACACAGGTGGTCAGCACGGTTATGTTGATCACATCCTTAAAGTTCAGATGATGCAGTTCAAGGACAGCATAGATGTTGAAGCTGCAGCCCTTATACTCACAAGCTATAGATCATGCCCACCAGGTAACATGCAGAGACCCACACCCCCCAATTTCCAGCCTTACTTGAGAAGACCCATCCATCATTGGACAGGACCTCTGATGTGTGCCAACACTCTGTGGGCTAGGGATGGTTAGCGTGGTGGTTAGGGTGCAGGATCACATGCCGGAGGCCTGGGTTAGAGAGCCTGTCTCTGGCTCCTGACTCCAGCTTCCCACTGATGCAACCATGAGTTCCCTGTCCCTGCCTTCAACTGCAGGTTAGCCGTGGCTATTGTGGACATTCTGGGAGTATACCACCAGAAGAAAACCTGAGGGCCTGTACTTTTTGAACATAAAAGACAGGGGCAAGAGTTCAACCTTGGCGGCTCAGGTGACAACAGCCCTCTGCAGTGGTAGCGATCTGCTTCCGGAGAGTACCAGGGCCAGGTCAGACCCAGTGCCCGGGACTCGGCTCATGGGCACCGTCGCCACATGGTGAGCGAGTTCTGGCTGCTGGGAGGCCAGAGAGATTTCTCCCACCATGGTGAGTACACCATGAAGAAATCCTGGAACAAGATTAAGGCTTCTGGCCATGCCCTGCAACCACCACCTTGTGGCAGCAGGAAACGAGGGGTGGGAGTTTGACCTTGGCGACTCGGTTGGCAGCAGCCCTCCGCAGTGGTGGCGATCTGCTTCTGCAGAGTACCTGGGTCAGGTCGGACCCAACGCCCAGGACTCAGCCCATGTGCACCATCGCGGTGAGCAAGTCCTAGGCTTTGGGTGACCAGTACATCCATTTGGTGCCAGGCTCTGCCTGTTGGCCACCTGGCGGCGAGAGCTCTGGGGTTTTTAGGGTATGTAATTGCTGCCTAGGGACATCCAGGGATAAGGCCAGTGTGAGTGTAGTTGAGGGATTAATTCTGCATGATTTCTAGTGATGGGGTCACTGAACTTACTTGCAAGTATGGGACTGAGATCTGAGGGTTTGGAGGTGAGAGTCCATAAGTTCTATTTGGGCCAGACCGATTCACCAACCCACATGGGAATCCTGAGATGAGCTATTAGCATAGAGCATCACTGACTGCCACACACCAGTCCACATGAAAGCTATGAATGGGGGCCTGTCTGGCAGGGCTGGGTACCAGCACCTGACTGAGTGTTGGAACAGGGGATGGGTTACACTTGGCAGGGTCAAGACACTAACCAACACATGAGAGAAGCAGATCTGGGATTAGATTCCCTGAGGGAAGTGTGGGCCCAACCCTGTAGAAATACAAGTCCTGTTGGTTAGAGTTGGGGTGGTGATGGGCTGAGCTAGATGTGATCATGGAACCTGCCATCACTTATAGGTAAAGGAACCAACAACAGCCTGGGCAGGTTAAGGCAGCAGCACCCAAATGTGCATCCCTAAACAGGATATGGGGTGGAGCTGCAACTGGGAGGGGGCGGACTGGGCAGGGCTGAGCAAACCTTAGCTCACAAGGAAGAATGGAAATCAGGCTGGAGCTAAGCTCTTACACAGACTGATCTGCATGAGCTAGGGATGCTAAGCCACAGCATCTAAGACAAAGGCCAAGCTAGGGGGCTATGCCAGGCTGGGTCAGAGCAACCACTGGCATGCACGCAATCTATGGCTGGAAACAGGCCTGACTGGGGAGCTAAGGGGACACCTTAACTGGGCTGGGGTTCCAACTGGTGAGTGCAGGGCTAAATGGGGGCTACGTTCTGGTCTGGATATGGATGCAGTCTCCCTTGGCACAAGTGTGTACTGGGACTGGAAAACCAGGCCAGCCAGACTCCAGCACCATCTGGTGCTCTGGAGGACCAGAGTAGATGTGAGATGGAATAGGTTAGGTCTCTTCTCCTACTGAGCCATGTGTGAGCCATATGTGGGTATGGACGAGCCTTGGCTGGGCTGAAACATCCAACAGTAAGGACCAGAATGGGTTGAAGGCCAGTCAGGAAAGGCCACTGTTCCTTCTAGGACAAGAGGTGAACTGAGTAGGGCTGGCTCATGGAACCACCGGTATGCGCGAGATCTGGCACTGGGAGAGGTTCTGATGGAGGAGCCTGGGCAACTCCTCTGGCAGGACACAGTCTCCGTAGGTGAATGCAAGAACCACAAAAGGAGCAGCCGAAGGGTAACCAGGCCAGGGAACCGCGGGTAGTTCCTTATTTGCAGGGTGCCAGGAACTTTCCGTTCCCGGGAGTTTTAAGGTGTTCTCGGCCGGGAGCCTGAGGTGGGGGGTCTGGGTGGATCCAGCCCGGAGCCGGGATCCAGCCGGACGCCGCTGGGGGTGTGGCCCGCGCCGGGAGGAGGCGGAGCCACAGCGGCGAGGCGCTGGAGACCCCCCTCCAGGCTGCACGCCGAGGGGAGACGCGGGACCCCGGCGCCGGCAGGTAACGCTGGCCCGCTGCACGGTGCAGCCGCGCGTGCTGCTCCCGGGGGCTGCGGGGCTGCGGGGCTGCGGGGCTGCGGGGCTGCGTGCGCTCCTCTGTCCGCTCCTGTGCGCGCCCTCACGCCGCCCGGGCTCCCGAGGCCTTGGTGCTTCAGCGGAGGGCGGCCATCTCGGCCGGAGCACTCCGCTCCGCGGTGACTTTCATCACCTGGGGAGGGTGCGATGGTCTCCGCGCTCGGGGGTTGTGCGCGCCTCCACCTCGGGCGCAGCTCGGCACTCGGAGAAGGCGCGCCAGGCGCAAAAGGGTTAACTTGGCCCCCTCTTGCCTGGAAGTGCGCTGGGACCTTTGCGAGGCGGCTGTCACGGGCTTCGTGGGCTGGCTTGGGCCACGCCCTGCATGCTGGCTCCCGATCGGTCAGTCGCCAAAACACCAGCCTGTGGTTTTCATGATGGCACAGGTGCTCCACTTGATGCCGCGTGTTCGTCATGTTCTTTCTTGTTTTTAAATTTAAAAAAAAAAAATGTTTTTTATTTGAGAGGAAGAGAGAGATTTTCTTTATCACCTACTAGTTCGCCCTTCCTCCGCCTCGCCCCCACAAATAGCCACAAGAGCCAGGGCTGGGCTAAGGGGGAGCCAGGAGCCTGGAGTTCCACCTGGGTCTCCCACGATTGTGCTGCAGGGGCCCAAATACTTGCACTAGCACCTGTTGCTACTTCCTGGGGTGCACTGGACCGGAAGAGGAGGCAGTTAGGCATGCCTTTACAGGATGCCCTCTCCCAAGTGGGACCCCAGCTCGTTTTTGTAGGGAAATTGGGAGGACTCCCTGAAATCGCTGGAGCGTTGGGCCTGGCACCTGCCCGAGGTAAGGCACACAAGGGTGATGACTGTTACTATTCCAGGCTCCCTGGGATCAGCGGGTTTCAGGTTCTGCGCTGGGGGTATATTACTCATGCTGCTGCAGTGGGAGCCAGGCAGGCCGGTCACACCACACCCCTGAAACTTGTTTAAGGGCTTGTTGCCAATGGGGATGGTAAAAGAAAGCAGTGGAGTGCAGAACAGAACCAGGAGACTGGCCGTTCCTCTCTTAAGGACTTGGGGTTGAGAGGTGCATGGGCAGCTGCTGACCCTGTTTTATTGTTTTGATTGGTTGGCCTTGGGAACCAGCTTGTTTTCTGTAATGGAGGAGGTAGCCTGCTGGAAGGGAGATCCAGGGATAAGGTCTTGCCTGGTTGAGCACGGCCTCCCAGTTCCTGCAAAGCTCTCACAATGGAGGTCCCTGGAGATGGGAAGGAGGCCGCTCCCATAACTGTGACTTCCAGAGTAGGGGGATGATTTGTTGTCAAAGGGAAAGGTGTGTGTATGTGTTTGTGCGCGTATGTGTGCTGGAGCCAGGGGCCTGCTGAAGTCTCCATCCACCTAGGGCTGGGGGCTTAGTCTCACATAAACCTCCAAATGTTGGTATGCAGGGAAAGCAGCACTTGCTGAAACGTGGCCATTTGCAGCCTGAGAATGATTTCAGTAGAGCAAAGGGGAGGTGACCTCTGACCTGATGCAAACCAAACATTCCTGAAGCTTGCAGCCTGGCTTGTCACCCTGGAAGGCGACCAGCTGCTCAGCTTTGCTAGAGAGGACATGGCACTCTGTTAAGTGGCAGGTAGCTGGCTGTTTCTGGTGCCAATCCAAGGGAGGGGCCCTTCCATTGTGATGGTTTGCTGCCCCTGCCTTCTGATGCGATGAGCACTTTGAATGGCCTGACCTTGGTTTGGGCAGCCTTAATCCTGGACTGCAGCAGGCATTGTGTGTGTCCAGATGACACGGACTTCCAAGTGCCAGGGTCCCAACACAGCCAGCACTGGGTGATGTTAAGCCACTTTGCGTGTTGCCAGTCCCTGATGAATAGAATCAAGATTCGAGCAGTATGGCTTCAAGACTCTGCTGTTGCCTTGGGACAGGTAATTTCCTCCCCAGGTTTTGAAAATCAGCATGTTGGGGCGTTGACATTTGTGTTTTGTTTTTTTAAAGGCAGAGAGATGAGGAGCTGGTGTCTTGCTGCTTCGTGCTTCACACTGAGCTCCTAACAGTCCTGGGTTCAGGAGCCTGTAATTCAGTCCATGCTTCCCAAGCAAGTGCCAGGGACCCAACTACTAGAGCCGTCACCCACTGCCTCCCAGGGTGCATGTCAGCAGGCGGGAGGAAGCTGCAGCTCAGGCCCAGGCACGTACATGGCCTGGAGGAGTCCCAGGCAGTCCCTTAACCACAGGCCAAACACCCACTCCTGAGGTCTTATTTTTGAGGATGTATCAGGGCTTGCACTCCCTCAGCCCTGGGCTGCCAGGAGGAGGAACCATGGTGTCAGGCAGCTGCACCCCTCGTGCACACACTGCCGGTGCACAGTCTGCTCTGCTTGCCTCTTCAGCTTATTGTATTTCTTAAGTTGAATTCACAAGCAGTCCACCTGCACAGGGCTTCATAGCTCAGCTCTCGGGACTGGATTTAAGGGCTGTTAGGCCTATTCAGATCTGAGACTGCAGTAGGATTTACATTAGTATCTCGAAATTGTTACTACCGTTTATTTGAGAAGCAGGAAACATGCCCAAGCACCCAATCCACTGATTCTCCCCTCAGCTGCCTGTGACAGGTCAGAAACCCTGTCTCCCACGGGAGTGGCAGGGCCTCCAGTACTTGGCTTCCTCCCACTGTCTTCCATCGTGTACCGTCAATAGGAAGTAGAACTCAGAGCAGACCTGGGAACCCAGGCACTCGGAGGTGGGATGAGGGCATGGCCCTGTTCTGCCTTCCACAGTTGTCCTTCTCAACAGGAGGCAGAGGTGAGCTGTACTTGATTGCAGTGTTGTATTACTTACTGTTGCTGTGGCAAGAACACCTTGCGCAGCAACTGGCTGGTTGCCCTCTACATGGAGGCAAACGGGAACTAGGACGTCCCTGAGGGAGTGCACCCAGTGATGTCGTCACATGAGCTGTTAAAAACAGAAGTGGCTCCTGACTATTTAATCAGAACCAACAGCTTCTTTTACAACCCTTTGGAAGAGATGCTTGCAACCCTTGGTAAGGTAGTGTTGCCCTTGGGCCAGGTCACCGACCAAGGCAGTGGTTCTTAGTGCATGCTGAGAATGCTAGGAATGCACGTTCTCAGGCCAGCACCAGAACTTTTGAATTGTTACCATAGGGGGTGGGGGTGGGAGAACCAATAGTGCCTTTAAGCCTCTTGGAGTTGCTTCCCCAGGAATGCAAGGATCATGAGAGCTAAATCGCAGTGATTCGGTAGTCATTGTAGCCTTGTGTCTGCCATCTGCTCATCCAGATTGTGGTAGAAATGACTGGGAGGTCAGAGGTAGAGCCTGAACCTGCTAAGCAAGGAATGGAGGCAGAGTCTAGCAACTTGATATGGAAATGTCTCAAGCCCTCCCATGGGCCAATAAGGAAATGAAGACACAGGGAAGTTTGGTGTAAGTAGCAGGTGTAAGAAGTCTCCCCTTCCTACCCCTACCTCCCTGAATCCATCCTGAAATAAGGAGGTGGCAGCTCTTCTAAATAGGGTACTCTGTTTTTGTTATTTGAAATAATGTGTGGATAACCTTGACTATTTACTTATTCCTATATGAAGGGCCTATTTAGAGACTGTTTAAAAGGAGTGTATTTACTTAATTGCTTGTTTGTTTTAAAAGGCAGAATGATGGGGTAGCAGAGGGAAGATCTTCCATCCATTGGTTCATGTCCCCAAATGTCTGCAGGAGCTGCGGCCGGACCAGGCTGAAGCTAGGGACCTAGCGCTCTGCCCGGGGTTCTTGAGCCATCATCTTAGCCTCCTAAGTGCATTACCAGGAAGTTGGATTAGAAACCAGGTAGCTGGGGACTGTACCAGCACTCCATAATAGGAAGTGGGACTCCCCAGGGACTTCATTAAAGTATTCATTTATTTAAAAGATTTATCCATTTTTATTGAGAAGTCAGATCTACAGAAAGATTCTCCATCTGCTGATTCACTTCCCAAGTGGTCGCAATGGCCGGAGCTGAGCCGATCCGAAGACAGGAGCTTCTTCCTCCAGGTCTCCCACACAGGTGCAGGGTCCCAAAGCTTTGGGCCATCCTTGACTGCTTTCTCAGGCCACAGGCAGGGAGCTGGATGGGAAGTGAAGCAGTCAGGATTAGAACTGGCACCTATATGGGATCCCGGCAGTGAGCAAGGCAAGGACTTTAGTCGCTAGGCTACTGCACTTTTGAGTCAATTTAGGAGACATTCAGGAAAACCTATTCTTTCTGCAAAAGCCTGGCTGAGTTTTTGTAAGCCTAGATGACACTTTCCGGCAAGCTCTCTCCTCTTACTCTGAGTGGCTTCTGGCTGTTGTGAGTAATGCAGTCCACCCTCCAAGGAGACGGGCTTGTCACTGCCCGCCTTCCTGGTGACTAACGGCACTGTGTTCTTTGGAGGAACTGGAGATCTGCGCAGGAGCAGTGTGTTGGAGCAGTCCTAGGAACGAGCCTACCGTTTCTTCTTTTTTAAAATGACGATGCTGTGTGTATTTCAAGACTTGCTTATTTATCTAAAAGGCAGAGTGACAGACAGATAGGTCAAAGCCAGAAGCCTGGAACTCCACCCAAGTGGGCCTGCGGTTTTCCCAGGTACATCAACAGAAAGTTGGGATCTGAACCGATGCTCACGTGGGGCTCCAGCATCACAGGTAGCAGCTTAACTCACTGTGCCACAATGCCAGCCCCACAAACCCACTGTATTAATGAGTCCTGACATGTATAGAAAAAGAGGGTTGTTGATAGCTTTTGAGTGTCTTTTGTTTCAGCCCCATCCTGTTCACCTTCAGCTGTGGACATTGTTCTTGACAGAGGAGTATGTTTTAGTTTAGGGACAAGTTTTAAGCCATAAGGTTGAGTCTTAATTTTGAATTTCTGAAAATGACTTACTGAAAGATCAGTGATATGTTGAAAATAAGAAACGTTAGCAATGTGTTGATTTACCTGATATTTCTGATTGTAAGAGTAATACTGGCCCAGGCACATTAGTCTAGCAGCTAAAGTCCTTGCCTTGCACACGCTGGGATCCCATATAGGCACCGGTTCTAATCTCAGTAGCTGCACCTCCCTTTAAGCTCCCTGCCTGTGGCCTGGGAAAGCAGTCAAAGATGGCCCAAAGCCTTGGGACCCTGCAGCCACGTGGGAGACCCAGAAGTGGCTCTGGGCTCCTAGCTTCTGATTGGCTCAGCTCTATCTGGTGCATCTGCTTGGGAAGTTAATTATCAGATGCGAGATCTTCCTCTCTGTCTGTCCTCCTCTCTGTATATCTGACTTTGCAATAAAAAGGAAATCTTAAAAAAAAAGAAAATAACACAAAAGTAATATTGAGTTTGTTAAATAATATTTGAGGGGAAAGTGGTAAAAGAATAAAGGATCATAAACAGGGAAAATCAAATAATCCTGCTTCGTGAGCATTAGTTATTGGCAACATTTTGAGACATCTCTAAAATAGCCTTAAGAGTCTGCTGTTTCCCATTCAGCCTCCCTCCTCCCCACGCGCCACAAAAATCTCATGTTGTTCAGATTTGGGGAGTGATGAACAAAGCCCAGTCTTGTGCTCCCAGCAGCTGGGTCCTGCCTTCGTGCCCTCCTGCTCCCCTACAGCCCTAACATAAAACCAGCCCCAGCAACGCCAAGTCAATCTTCTACCCTGAAGCTGACACTAGACACTCCCAATTCCACCCAGATTATAGCCGCAGGCCACCTTGGGCAAGGAACCCGCTATCTCCCCTACTCATCCAACCCCCAGTGCTTATCTAGGCTCCTCATCCTTCACCCCCACACCCCATCCCTGCCCTTGACCTGCCTTGCCCAAATGCTTCTTCCTTCTGGCTGCTGTTTTTCAAGTGCAGATTGGGCTGGGAAATATGCACGCGCGTCCCTCTGCAGGTTTGCTGGGTGTGGAGGTCAGAGGATTGTAGCAATGCATGGCAGAAGCAGAACAATTCAAGAGCTGTTCAGAAGCTACTGTGCCCGACCTGAAGGCCTGCTCACAGGGCTGGCCTCGCTTGCGTAGCAGGCCAGTTCTTCTGATGCATTTTGTCTCAGAGTAGTTCTGTGTCAGGACCCTGTGTGTGCAATATCAGTGTTACGGACATCATGGACATTCCAAGGGAAGTTTCTTGGGGCTAACACGAGGTTCTCTCCCACCGCAAAAGCTGACGTAACAGCCCTTTTCAACTTATGGAAAGAGCTGCCCTTCCGGCCTGGGGCTCTCAGTCAGCATCCTCTTCCTCTTGCGCTCTTACACACTCAAGCCTTCCACTGCATCCTTGAGGCTGCATGAGAGTGAGTGTGGGAAGCCAAACGCGGGGCTGCTAGAGCTCCCTGGCTGGCTAGAGCGAGCGGGGGTGGGCAGGAGCAGGCTGGAGCTTCTACAAATGCCAGAGAGAAGCTACTGGGACCTTACTCAGGAGGAATGGCCCAGTAAGCCTGGGTTTCTGATGTGTGGAGGGTGGCTGCTTTCCCCAGGGGCGGATCGATTAGCAGCTGAGTTTCAGAAGCCAGTCTTTGACTTTTTCTTCTTGCCAGTCTCCCTGCCTGCTTCATCAGCCAGATGCAGAGGACCTCAGGGAACTCGCAACAGCTGTGGCAAACACCCCAGGAGCTCTGGTCGCCTGACATCTGTCCTTGCTGGAGGGGTACCCTGGGTCATGGAGAGCTCCCATCTCCCTATTTCAGGAGAAGCTTAGGAGACTTGCAGATGTCGGGGACAGTGGGGGGAGGGGGACACTGTGTTTTTGAAGATTTGTTTATCTTTACTTGAAAGAGTTATAGCGAGAAGAGAGACACAGAAAGAACGCTCTTCCATCCACTGGTTTGCTCTCTGAATGGCCTCAATGACCAGAGCTAAGCCAGTCTGAAGCTTGGAGCCAGAAGCTTCTTCTGGGTCTCCCATGTGGATGCAGGGGCCCAAGGACTTGGGCCATTTTCTGCTTTCCTGGGCCATAAACAGGGAACCTGGATAAGAAATGGAGCGGCTGGTTTGTAAAACAGCCCCAGCAGGAGGCTTAAGATGTTAAACTGAGGGCCCGGCGCGGTGGCGCAGTGGTTGAGGTCCTCGCCTTGCATGCCCGGGATCCCATATGGGCGCCGGTTCTAGTCCCGGCAGCCCCGCTTCCCTTCCAGCTCCCTGCCTGTGGCCCGAGAAAGCAGTCGAGGACGGCCCAGATTTTGGGACCCTGCACCCGCGTGGGAGACTCGGAGGAGACTCCTGGCTTCGGATCCGCATAGTATCGGCCGTTGCGCTCACTTAGGGAGTGAATCATCGGACGGAAGATCTTCCTCTCTGTCTCTCCTCTCTGTATATCCGCCTTTCCAATAAAAAAATAATAAAAATAAATCTTTAAAAAAAAAAAAGAAAAAGATGTTAAACTGAGACCATCCAGGCCTGCTGAGGTCTAGGTCACAGCAGCATTGCCCACCAATTTCCTGATTAAGAGACCACCAATGGGGAACATCTTACCTGTAGGTTCCCGCCCAACCAGGAGGGGTCAGGGAATGCTTAAAATCCCAAGACCCTTCCAAAGACCCCTTTGGTGTCTCTCTCCCCTTTCGAGAGGCACCCCACCTCCTGGCTTTCTCTCCGGAGGTGCTTTCCCTTCCCTCTTCCTTCCTGCTAACCTGGTCCCTTCGCAAAGAAACTTTGCTGTCTGCAACAGATTCCTGGCTTTTTATTTCTAGACTAAGCTGAGGAAAGAACCCACCGGGCTTTTCTGGTAGCTGCCTGCTTTTCCCAGTCTGACTCCTCACACATTACCACCTCATGCATGGTGCTAAACTAAGGAGACGTTGTGAAAGTGAGCGCTTGCCATCAGGTTACCTAGAATCACTCCCCCACTTCAAGAAGAACGACGAGGATGGGAGGGAGAGTTGTGAGTGTCCTGAGCTTTCACCACCTGTCATGCTTCCGACTGTGTGCTGGCATAGCCCCCCAAATCACCCATCTGGGGCATTCTGTTGCAGAGTGTGAGAGATCACACCAGACACAAGTGTAGGATGTTAGGAGTCTTTATTGGCTAAGCTGATGACATCAGCTCCCACTACACTCCAGGAACCAATGCACCGGGCTGCCAAAGTCAGTGGCTTTTAAGCTCTCATTCTCCAATCAACTTGAAAGCCGTGCAGTACAAAGTTTCCATGCATTCCATTAACAAAGTGGTGGAAGTCCAGAAGGGAGCTGCCAGTTTTCCTGTAGCTCATTAACCTAATGTGGCACAGTGGGAGGCAGAGTGGAGCCACTGTCAATTAACCTGAAAGGCAGGAATCAGGAGGGCAAGGAACCTCTTGAGTGAACTTGAATGGTGCGGAGGTAGACAAGGCACAGGAGGCAGGGCGCAGAACCGTGCTGTCAATTTACTTGGCAAGCAGGTGCTAGTTAATGAAGGGGTTGCACCCTTTCACAAAACCACTTAGTGGCTGGCCCAAGAAGGGCCTCCTACTCAGCCAGAGGCTCAGCTGGGTGCCAGCTGAGTGCAGCTGACAGATGCTCTTTGTATTCACAAGCGTTCCTGTTGGGAACCATAGTGCTGTTTCTGCCACTTCATACTCATGAACACTGGCACCTGTCAGGACAGTTCGTTCAGGGGTCCTTAGGGGCTGTAGGTGACAGCCTGGGCACGGGAGGGCCCTTCCAGGCTCCGGGCTCAATGAGCTTCCCCCCCCCCCCATAGTTGCCCCCTGAAAAACTTAAGTGTTTTTACTTGCTTGGCTGAGGAGCTGCGTGAACTCCTGACAGTCTATGTGACACCTGGCAGGTCACGTAGGCAGAGCACTCCTCAGGAAGGAGACCCCAGGTGTGCTTGTTAGATAAGAATTACTCATGGCCCTATAGCTCACCAGTTTGTATTATTTGAAAGTTGCTTGCTTCAAACCCACCAATAGAAGCCTGCCAACTTGCTCTTTTTAAGTTAACAGTTAAACTGACCAATAATTGTGAGGAATTGGCCTGAAGTGCATAAAAACCCCGTGCTGTTCAACCTCGCCCCTTTATTTCTTGTGGTCCTTCTGCTGCAGCCTTGGCTGCTGCCATCCCTCCCGCAGCCTTGCTGGGCTGGGGTCACGGCTAGGAGCCTAGGCCAGTCTGAATAAACTGCCCTTTTGTGCTTGCATCTACTTCAGACCCCTGATGATTTTCTGGGGATCTCAAAGTCTGAGCACAACACCCCCCTAGCAGTACAGATGGCTGGCCTATGGGTTTCCTGTGATCTCTCTGTCAGCTGACTCCATCTTGACACTTCCTGGACCTACCTTGGCCTTGCAGCTGTCCGCTTCGAAGCTGGCAGCCCTTGCTCACCTCATCACAGCCTGTCTTGTCCTTCCTCCAGGGACTGTGGATGTTCACAATGGCTAGCAGAGCTCCGCTTGTCCTGTTCAGGTTCCTGTTCCTGCTGGCCGTCTTCTACAGTTCAGGTGAGTGACCCTGAGGCCCTAGACTGTGACCCAAGGGCACATGGGCTGCCTCAGGCCAGGGTGACCTCAGGAACACCAAGCCCGTCTCTGTTGCTGCCCCATTGCTCTAGTGGACCCAGCTTTGGCTCTTTTGCCCTCTGCTGGTAGAAGCCCAAGGTCATGTGACAGCACCTTCATACTTTGGGGTCTTACCCTGATTTGGGGAAAGAGGGCCGCTTTATGCCAAGAACATAGGGCAATCAGCAGGTTAAAGGTCACCCTTCTTACCAGTGGATACCGTCCTTAGGGTATTGTCCAGGGCTACGCAGCTTGCTCACTTAGCCCCTTCAGCTCTGAGACTTCCCCTGTGCTGTGCTGACAGTGGTGATGGCAGCCACAGTGATGGCCAGTGGCAGCTGAGGCTCTCAGTACTGTGTGCCAGTCACTAACACTGAGCAACCCAGCAGGTAACAGGGTTGAGGCCCAGAGAAATTGATTAGTTCCTGAGAAGTGAGATCCCCCAATATGGCCCCAGGCAGTCTGGCCCCAGGCAGTCTGACCCCAGGGTGCCTGGTTTTCACTAACTCCTGGCCATCTCCTGGGCTACCCTTCCCTTGGATCCTGGAGGAAGCCACCCTGAGGCTCAGCCATGGGATTTTCTGCCCTAGTCAGGTCAGTACAACTTTTCGGTCACTTTTGTAGTTTGTTTATTTTTTGGGTGTGTGCCTGAGGACAATAGGGAGCAGCGAGAAGGGAAGCAGCAGGACCGTGAACAGAAAGAATCTGTGGGGTTGCTACCTGTTGCAGAGGCCAGAGGCTAGCTGTACTAAACAAAGCCTGTCTTCCAACAGCCTTCCCCGCTGTGGGAGAGGCTACTGTTGCCCATTTTCTTGAAGATTCTAGAGAGAGCTTAACCACTGTCCATGCTCAGGATGTGTGCACCTGCTTGCTGTGGGACTTGTGTGGAGCCCTGTTTACCAGGTGAAAAGCCCAGGCTGTGGTGTTAGAACCAGGGGCCAGCCCTTGGACTCCCCAGACCCATGCCTGCTTTAGCTACCGTGTTCTTGCATGAGATTTCATGTCTCATCTTTGGAAATGTCTTCCACACGGGTAGCTGCTGCCAAGCACAGCGCAGCGCAGCCCCCAGGATGCACCGCAGAAAAGCAGAGCTCCACGCAGCAGCAAGGCCCCCTCCAGCCTTTCTCAGCCTTTCTCCATCACAGGCATGAATCCCAACTCCTCTTTTTCTCACTGTTGTTAGAAAGACAGAAAAAGAAAAATGGTAGCAAAACCTGACAAAGTCCTAAGAATTTGATGGGGCCCAGTAGTGGTTTTCTCAGTTAGGGAGCTGGAGCCTGTTGCTTCTGATTGCTTAATGACCTCTGCTGGGCTGCAGCTGCCCCTGCCCCGGGGGTTAAAGCAGTAAGCTGCTTCCTCTCGCCCCCAGGGGTTAAAGGTGTCAGCTGCTTTTTTCTTCTTCTTCTTTTTTCACATTTAAAGATATTTTATTTTGTTTTATGATACAGTTCCATAGGCTCTGGGGTTACCTGTGCCCTTCCCCAAGGTCCCTCTCCACCCACCCACCCCAGTGATTTCCCCTCTAGTTTTATAATAGGTGTTCTTCGTGAACCATCGTAAGTCTGCCATGCTGTTATTGAAGTGTTTCCCGACAATGCAGGCATGGACAATGTCTGGGAGTCCATTGTCTCACTGTTAGGATACTTTGAGTTCTTTCACTGGGAGTCCATCTTTGGTCTGTACTCACAGAGACATACAACACTTTGTCTCCATATCTGAACGTATCAGTCCCCGTCACACTTCCATGACATATCCCCTAAAATACAGAACCAGTGAGCACAGTCCACACCAGGGGGAAAGTAGTGAATTTTCATCAACATGAAGTTAACAAACATGCTACAAAAACACTAATGTGTCAGGGGTCAGAGGAGTCAGCTGCTGGCTCAGCGACAGTACCTGAGCAGGGGACAGACAGCTCAGTGATGATGTCTTACCTCAGAGGGCGCCAATTTTATTTATTTAATTGTATGTATTGAATGGGAGTGAGAGAAATCTGTTCGCTGATTCACTCCCCACATGCACGCAGCAGCAACCGAGGCAGGCCAAAGCCAGGAACTCCCCAAGGGCCTGGAGCCATCATCTGCTGGCTCCTAAAGGGCACATTGGCAGGAAGCTAAGCAGGATTACAAGTGGAGGAGGGTCTCAAACCCAGGCACTTGGAGATGCCAGGTGGTGGCTTAACCCTTTGCACCACAACTCCCACCCCTCACAGAACATCATCTGTGAGGACTGAGTAACAGCTTGGGTTTAAACCAAGGATTTGTGTATCTACAAAACGTAGATTCTTATATAAGTAATGAGAGAAAACAAATTTCTCTGAGTTTTCAGTCAACAAAATTCACAATGTAGAAGCCAGCATGGTGGCTCAACAGGCTGGTCCTTCACCTTGTGGTGCCAAAATTAGCCAGTTCGTGTCCTGGCTGCTCCACTTCTAATCCAGCTCCTTGCTGCTGGCCTGGTGGAGCAGCAGAGGATGGCTCAAGTCCTTGGGCCCCTGCACCCACGTGGGAGACCCAGAGGAGGCTCCTGGCTTTGGATTGGCTCAGCTCCAGCCGTTACAGCCATTTGGGGAGTGACCCAGTAGATAGAAGATCTTTCTCTCTGTTTTTCCTTCTCTCTGTAAATCTGCCTTTTCACGAAAAATATATCTTTAAAAAATTTCACAATGTAATAATTAAGCACAAATATATACATTCTATTATTAAGAACCACAATTCTTTTTTCAGGGGATAAAAAATTTTGCTTAATTGGTGTTTTAACTGGATGCTCCATGTCAAATCAGCTGCAGGTGTCCATATTCTAATACTGATATGTAATGAGATTTGCTGTATTTCATTATTTAAAATGTCTTTCCACACAAACAACGACTACTGGGTACTGATTATTATTATTAGTCCTCGTGGGAATCAGCTTGTTTTGCATGTTCGTTGCTGGGCAAGCTCTCATGGATTTCACTTACTTCATTGTCTTGATGTTTTCCTTTCAATGAATACATCAACACATTACCAAGCAATCATTAGGAGGAAATGTCTTCGTTACTCCATTAGTGGATTTTGAAATGTGGATATTCCCTTTACAACTGTATCATCAAGGTCCAGAAAATGTTGCTGGGACAATAGTGGAGGCTTAGAAATCTCTAACCAGTCCAGGTATGTGTGGAGCTGGAAGCTCCGCATGGGCTGCTGTCCGTGGCCACTTCTTGGAGTCTTGGAGATGCTGGCTTCTGCTCTGCTGCCAAGGGAGCAGGTCAGGGCTTGGTTGCTCAGATCCTGACAGCCTTTCTTCTTGATTCTAGATTGCACACTGAAGTGTTACCATTGTGAATCCCCGTCCCCTAACTGTTCCACAATCGTCAACTGTACACCCAACCTCGATGCGTGTCTCAATTCCACCAGTGGTAAGCACCTCTCCCCTTTGCTGTGTCTCAAGTCCAATGGCTTGAGGAAAGTGTGGAGAAGACTGCCATTCTCGCACTCAGTGGACTGGTGTCCAACAAACAACAGCTGTCATTCCTCAGGACCAGTTAGGTTATTGGACACGAATTTAATGTTTCTTAGTTGCCACTTACTCCCACTTGAACTTTGAGGAGGCAGAGACAGCTTAAAGCAATGGGCTGAGGTCAAGTAACACACTCAGGATCTGAACTGGGCAACCTGATTTGCAGTAGCACACCACCACCACCCTCCCACACTTTTAAGCACCTCCTGTGTGCCAGAGCCTGGGGACCTGGGCATGCAGATGGGAAGACAGGTCACGGGTGTCAGTTAGGACAAAGGCCTGTGTGGCTGTCCCAGGTAACCTATGGCTCTTGCTGCGTGGGATCCATGCAGGGTACCCAGGGTCCTGAGCGGGACTCTAGCTGAGCTCACAGGACAAACAGCGCCCAGGAGGACCAAAAAAAGGCACAGATGATCCTGAGAGAAGTGACAGGAGGTCCAAAGGCTCAGGGGTCCCAAAACACAAGGTGCTCATGAATGGGGGTGCCAGAGGGGAGAGCTGCGTTTTCCATGTTGGCAGGCCTGAGGAATCTGCACCTCTGTGAACCACGTTAGAACAGAATTTAGGAAATGATAGGGAAGAAAGTGAAAACGCGCTCCCTGCTGCCTTGATGCAGTTCTGAGCTGCATCGGTGTGTGTCAGGATGGTGACGAGGAGTGACAATCGCAGGGCAAGCTCAGTGTACAAGTGAAACCCCCCAGGCTTCCCATCTCAGGTAAAAACTCTCCTGTACTATGCACCACGAACTCTCCCAGTGTCCACACCAAGGTTGGGGGCACGCGGCAGATGAACTTGTAGAAGGCTTGGGAGATGCCCAAGTTCAGAAAAACCTACAAAAAACAAAAGGTTGATTTTTCCCAGAAAGGACAAATTCCTCCATAAATAAAAACAAAGTCGCATTAAGCTGTGTACAAAATAAGGCGTATCTGAGAATCTGGACTTGAATTCCTGGTAACATTTGGTTTGTGGGCAAAGCCCTTGTACTGGTGGGGGGCCGTCCCTCTGTCCTCCTGCAGGACCCTGCTGACCCACTGTTGATGGGGAATGCACATTGTTGCCCTTGCAGAGAACAGTGTCATTCACTCTGCAAGCATCTGGCCACCAGTCATCCTATGCAAATGCTGAAGGCCTGGTTTGTCACATTGACCACCTGCTTGTCTGAGACCTCCCACTTCCAACTTCCAAATGAGAGAACAAGGCGAGGAATGGAATGATTGTCACAGGAGCATTTAAGGACTCTGCCCTCTGCCTTGCCCCTGGCTGGTTCTTCCCATCCTTGTGTGTTTCTCCTGTGTGATGTGCTGATGTGCGTGATGGATAGTGAGATCTGGGAGGGGAAGGAAGTTAATCAGACCTGAGATTTTTTTCCCAGCTCTGGAATCCTGTAGTTTCTTACCTGAATTGTTAACTTATATGTCGTAAAGGTACAATGAGACACATCTACAGTGTCCAAAAAACAGTGGCCAAAATTCACAGCACAGTGACACCGGACTGCCAGAGAGGAGGTAGAGTCATAGGAACTCAGACTCCTCAGCGGCAGGAGTGCAAAGAAGTTCAGCCGCTCTGGATGGCAGTTCACTCTTAAGGAATAGATTTAAAAACAAAATAGGCCAGGCCTGGTGTTTTAGCCTAGTGGCTAAATTCCTCACCTTGCATGTGCTGGGATCCCACATGGGCACCAGTTCTAATCCTGGCAGCCCTGCTTCCCATCCAGATCCCTACTTGTGGTCTGGGAAAGCAGTTGAGGATGGCCCAAAGCCTTGGGACTCTGCACCCACATGGGAGACTCGGAAGAGGCTCCTGGCTTTGAATTGGCTCAGCTCTGGCCTTTGCAGCTGCTTGGAGAGTGAATCAATGGATGGAAGATTTTTCTCTCTGTCTCTCCTCTTCTCTGTATATCTGCTTTTCCAATAAAAATAGAATAAATATTAAAAATATATATAGGTTATGTGAGTCTTAAACATTTCTCTTCTCTCCGATATAAATCCCAGGGCTTCAGCCACACTTAGGGGACCACTGGTTTTTAGCCACATTAAATGTACGTAGAGTCCTGGACTAGCTCCCAGTGGCAGTGCTGAGCGGCTGTTGCTGCAGTAACAGTCCAAGTGGGAAACAGTTAAGGGTGCTTAGCACAATTGGAGGCTGTTGCTTTAGGTAGATGCCAGCTGAGTCTTTAGAAAGAGTGGAGAGGGTATGCCAAACAGAGAGAACCTGTAAGAACGTCCTTTTGTTTGGGTGATCCTGATGCTGGCTTGGGAAAAAGGTCATCATCCTGAGGTTGCTTTTCAAGTAGGCTCATTCAAGGAAAGTGCTTGGCATGCTGTTAGACATTCAGAAATGATTCGCTGACAACAGTGTTAATGAACTGTAATCTATTCTCCCCAAGAGAATTAGGCTTCTCTGGTTAAATCTCTAGGGACTTTAAATGTTTCCCAGGTTCCAGTACTTAGTATTCCATAAAGCAGTACACTTTCCTGTTCAATAGAAGCCTCAGAACCTTATCAGAAGCATCTGCTTGGAGTTAGGACTTGAGCCCACTCTGGGGGGCAGTTACACGTGGAGTTCAAGCTAAGAAGCCTTTTGTTCCAAGTCAGGAACAGAATGAGCTAAATCAGTTATGAGTCATAAGAAGGGAACCAAGCATCCCTGTTATTTTTCTTTATGTAAGATTTAAAAAAAACTCTTTCAGGGTGAGGAGCACATCTGCTGGCAACTGTATAGCCCCGATATTGGGCATGCAGTTGGCACACAGATGTTACCAAGAATGCCCGGTGGGTTCTTTCCTCAGCTCAGTATAAAAATAAAAAGGCAATAATTTGTTGCAGACAAAAAAGTTTCTTTGCGAAGGGACCAGGTGAGCAGGGAAGGGCAGGGGAAAGGGAAGACACCTCCGGAGAGAAACACTTGTTATTTCGCATTTTCTTGGCCTCAGCCGTCCTAGTAGGTGTGAAGAAATGTCTCATTGTAATTTTGATTTGCATTTTTCTAATGAGCAATGGCATTGAGTGTCTTTTCACGTACTATTGCCCATTTATGTAACTTCTTTGTAAAGGTATCTATAAAGGCCTGTTGGCCATTTTTAATGAGGGCAACTTGGCTTATTGTGGAGTTGCAAGAGTTTTGTACGCTCTGGATACTAAATTCTTGTCTGGCAAAAAATGTTCTCATATTCTATGATTTGTCTTTTTATTTTTTCATTAGTGTCCGTTGAAATACAAAAGTTTTAAATTTGGGGCCTGGCATGATTGCCTAGCGGCTAGAGTCCTCACCTTGCATCAGCTGCAATCTTCAAAACAAAACAAGGCTAGGTAATTTATCTAAGATCCAAACAATACAGAAGATATAAATGAGTTGGACTTTATTAAAATTTAAAACTTTCATGATTCCTTATGAAGGACTATACTATTGTAACAAAATGGGAAAAATCTGACAGGGGAGTGGGGGTTTGGGAGAGAATCCCAGCCTATACAAAAATGTACCACATAATTCAAAATTCAAATAAAAATATTTTTAAAAATTTAAAAGATTCTTTTTATTTTTTTAAACAAAGATTTATTTATTTATTGGAAAGTCAGATATACAGAGAGGAGGAGAGACAGAGAAGAAGCTCCTCTGTCCGATGACTCACTGCCCAATCATTCACAACAGCCAGAGCTGAACCGATCCACAGTCAGGAGCCAGGAACTTTTTCCCGGATCCCACATGGGTGCAGGGTCCCAAAGCTTTGGGCCATCCTCAACTGCTTTCCCAGGCCACAAGCAGGGAGCTGGATGGGAAGTGGAACTGCTGGGATTAGAACCAGTGCCCATATGGGATCCCGGGGCATTCAAGGTGAGGACTTTAGCCGCTAGGCCATGCCGCCGGGCCCTAAAAAATTCTTTAGATGGATCTTGGACAATTACCTAGCCTTTTTTTTTTTTTTGGTAAGATTTATTTATTTATTATTAGAAAGTTAGATTTTGGGCCCAGAGTGGTAGCCTAGTGGCTAAAGTTCTCGCTTTATAAACACTGGGATCCCATGTGGGCACCAGTTCTAATCCCGGCAGCTTCACTTCCCATCCAGCTCCCTGCTTGTGGCCTGGGAAAGCAGTAGAGGATGGCTCAAAGCCTGGGGACCCTGCACCTGAGTGGGAGACCCGGAAGAAGTTCCTGGCACCTGGCTTTGGATCGGCTCAGCACAGGTCATTGTGGCCACTTGGGGAATGAACCATTGGACAGAAGATCTTCCTCTCTGTCTCTCCTTCTCTCTGTATATCTAACTTTCTAATAAAAAATAAATCTTAAAAAAAAAAAGTCAGATTTTACAGAAAAAGGGAGGCAGAAAGATCTGTCTGTTGGTTCACTCCCCAAGTAGCCGCAATGGCCAGAGCTGAGCTGATCTGAAGCCAGGAACCAGGAGCTTCTTCTGGGTCTCCCACACAGGTGCAGGGTCCCAAGGCTTTGGGACGTTCTCGATTGCTTTCCTAGACCACAGGCAGGGAGTTGGGTGGGAAATGGAGCAGCTGGGATACAAACCGGTACCCGGATAGGATCCTGGCACATGCAGGGGAAGGACTTCAGCCACTAAGCTGCTGCAGTGGGCCTGTAAACACCTGAATTAGCAGAACATTTTCTCAGTTTCTTGCTGTACACATAGTACTACAGTACAGTTTCTGAGGATTTGTCTTTACCTGTTTTGCAAATGATTTCAAAGGTAAATTCTAAGACACAAAATTTCCCTGTGCATCAATAGTGTAAGTCTGTTGTTGTCCCCTCCCTACACACACACACACACACACACACACACAACCCAGACCGGCTTTGATGCGATTTTGGTTGTAGGGAAAGTCCACGTTGAAGTCAATCAGCATTTACTTATGTCCCTCCGTACTATAGAACCTGGGCGGACGATCCTGGGCGGAGGATTCTGTTTCCTTTGTGTAAGATCTAAGAAGTGGAACTGAGAATGCGAAGGCAGGTGCAAACCTTGACCCACATGCTTTCTTACTCTGTATGTCTGTCTCTTCCAGGACCACGAATCTACAGACGGTGCTGGCGATTCCAGGATTGCAATTTTGAATTCATTTCTGAGAGATTACAGGAGAACTCATTAAAGTATGAGTGCTGCCAAAAGGACCTGTGTAACAGTAACAGAAATGATGGGACAACCTTATCAGAGCTGACCATGCTGCTGGTGGCTCCGGTGCTGACAGCCACCGGGCACCTTTATGTCTAAGTCAACACCAAGAGGGCTGCTTCTAAACTGTCCCCTGCCCTTAGAGTCTCCATTTTCTTGTTGCTGTATGCCATAATCTACAATTGCTCTACCTGTTTGCTGTTGGGAAAGAATAAAATGAACTTGAGCAACTTAGACAAAAGAGAGATGAACCTGAAGGGGCATTGGAGATGGTATGGTCCCTGGGTGTGGAACAGGCCGGCTTGGGGGAAGAAGTTTCAGAACAGAGCTGGTGCTATTTATGCTACTTGCACCTGCTTCCTCTTTGCTCTTTGCGGAGCTGGCTTTGCGGCCACAGCTGGAGCAGCTTCTCTGCAGCCCCCACACATTCCCTGCTCTTGGTCCATGAATGTAATTAGCTGCCTGACCAGCAGAAGTTCAAGGGGCAAGCCAGGGGTAGATTGTCTTCACTGGTAAACATGGTTCCTGTGTTGCCAAATGGGCATGTTGAATGTTCCACCTGTAGGACATTTCTTTGTTTTTGCAGCAAGATTTTTAGTGCAGAGTGATTGAAATTAGCATTCTCCCCCAGGAGCTGGCTGGCAGGGCGGAGGCTGAGTGAGCCTTCCAGATGACAGGGGTGGAAACCAAAGGTTGTCTTAAGAGAAGTCCCAGGAGCTGAAATTTGAGTTTTCCTTTGTCTCTGAATTTGGAAAGGACTTTCCTGTCTTTTGCTAGAAAAATATAGAGCCTAATTTAGCAGTGGGTCAAATCTATTTCGCTCTCCTTTTTAGATTGGCACAGTGGGATGTCAGTGAAAGAGTGAACAGCTTAAGTGGTTGGTGTGCATATTTGTAGCTTAAGTGTTTCTGCTAGGAAGGCCTTACACGGTTGTGTGTGTGTGTGTGTGTGTGTGTGTGTGTGTGTGTGGTAATAGCAGCAGGAGGAGTGCAGTGGGAATGGCCTGGGGGCTATAATTTGAGACCTTCAGTTACTGGTGACAAACTGGCAGGCTTGTGTCTCACCTGCCATGAGCCTGCTGACCACTAACTGACTCTGTACAGACTGTAACATCTGTTGGGAAGCGCTGCTTAGCATCCTCTGGGGCTCTAGGTAGCATACTTATCGGGAAAGCAGTGTTGCCCTCTTGTCCATGGGTACTGTCAGTCATTATCCAGATCCAGTCACGATTTTTGTATTCCTAGTGTCTTGGCTGCATTCAGCAACATAACCCGGCCTTTGCAGATAAAGGGAGAATTTCTTGATTAACTTTTTGAAATGTATGATGTTTGAACAAATGAAGGCAATGTTGCCTTGCTGAAAATAAAAGGAACCAAATGGTTTTGTGTGGTTATTGAGTCAGAAGGATAACAACACCTCTGGTGTGCTCAGCGGTGCTGCCTTCTAGAAGGGGCTGTCGGACAAGGTCCTTTAACACATGTTGGTGTCATGAACCGAACAAGGGGATAGAGTCATCGTCACAGCCTGCATTGCCTTCATGCCCTGTGCTCTCTCTCTGGACTGTCCTTCCTTCCACTCTCTTTAATTCTCAGTTTCAACACAAAACACTAGTGCGACCTTTTTTTTTTTTCCTCAATAGGACTTTTCTTCCCAAGGAATTTTTTCCTCTACTATGATATATATATATATATATATATCATATATCATATATCATATATACTATATATATATATATTTATTTATTTATTTAAAATAATGATTACATGGTTGATCAGAGTGGGAAGGATCAAAGTTTAGAAAAAATTGAATGAACTCATTGCTTCCAAATCTGCTGCTTGTTGTTCCTGGGGAAGGGGAAAGACAAAGGAGGAAACCACTCATGACTTTCCACATGTCCCAGGACCCAGGGATGAGGAACCGCCACCTCATATCAACCCAGAATCTCAGTGTGTACATATTCTGAGGGTTCTGTCCAGATGGTTTGGATAGTTCTGAAATGCTGCCATTTTAACCGATCTGAGGATGATGTCACCCAATGTCCATTGGCTCCATTCACTGGGATTTTTTGCTGTCATTGGTTATTTGGGGTAGTTGTCCAGTTAGTTCTGTTCTCCTTCTGCTACAGCACCAAATGAGCTGCCATATTCTCCTTTTGCAACAGGGCCTGTGTCCACTGCTCCACCTTTTTCATTAAGTAGGACATGTTCTTGCAAGTGAGTCCAAGTACCCGGGCCAGGTGTCCCAAGCATCACCAGATCCTCCTCCCCAAGGAATCTTTTCCATGCCAGCCGCGATTGGCTGAGCACAGCAGTGCATTCCATAGGAGGTTTAACGACCTGGAACTAAGTTGGGCTCCCTTAAGCAGAAAATGAATGGTTTCAATTTCTGTGCAGACTCCAAAGAGCCCAGAGTTGGGAATGGGTTCTCTTGCCTGGGCTGTGTACCCACTGGCCTGAATGCTTTGGGAAGAAGGTAGCTCTCTCCCACAGGGTCTGGGTGCTGCTGAGTGGGGATTCAGAATCAGCCGGGGTCACAGGAATGGCCTTGAGTGAGATTTCTTTTCACCATGTTGCTCTGACTCATTGACTGTTAAGAACCCAGTTCCTGGATCCAAAGGCCAGAGACGAGGAGAGCCCACAGGCTTCCCATGGCTTTGCAGGACCGCGCTGGGTGTTCAGTGCTGGATGGTTCTAGTTCCCTCAGGTCTTCTTGGAGGGTGAGTTAGGGATACAGGGTACACACAGCAACTAGGTGAATGGAATTCAATGATGTTCTGAAAGGTGCTGACCCATGGTCCAACTTAAACCCAGAGGTACTGGACTTGAAGCTGTGGGTTTATTCTTGTTGTGATCTCATGGTCATCCCTATGACTTCCCATCCTGCACTGTGTGTCCTGAGAAAAATCACACATTTTGGACGTGGAGCATCTTAAGAAATCAGCTTTGCACATCTGAGTCCTTGGCTGTGTCGGTGTCCATGCCTGCTAACTCACATTGGTTTCTCTCTTGCTGTCACTGTCAGTCTCACTCAGGGTTTTTTGTTTTGTTTTGTTTGTTTTTTATTTTTGTTTTTTCTTAAAGAGTGACAGATCTGCTGTTTGCAGATGTATTCCCCAAATATCAGCAACAGCTGGAGCTGGGCTAGTGCAAAGCCAGAAGCCCCAAGAGCCACCCATTATCTGTAATCTCAGGCCCATTAGCAGGAAGCTGGGTTGGAAGCAGGGCAGTTGGAACTCAAACAAGCTTACTCCAGGTTTCTTTTATGACAGGCTTGAACTCTAACCTCCCAGCGGTGTCTTGGGGACTCTGAGTGTGCTGGGAAGGGACAGAGTTGCTGGAGGTCATCGTGCTGGCATGGACTTCTCAGCTCTGGATTTTACAGGTGTCCTGCCAGTTCACTTTGCATTAGAGGAGCTGAAGAAAAGTAATTGAGTTGCTGAAGTTCAGCAAGACAGTGAGTTGGCAAGCCCAGGATTCACACGCTCAACTCCTGAGGTTGGTTCCTGATACTTATTAGGAAGGAAAACGCTAATTGTGGCTTCTTTGAAACATTAGATTACCTAATAGTATGAGCTTTAAAGAACCCAATCAGGCCTCTCCAGAAGCAGGCTTTCCAGAAGTCTCAATACCTGCCTTAGTCCATTCTACCCACTGTTGCTTGCAGATACTGGATTTCAGGGTGGTGGGTGTTCATTAAGCATGCAGATTTTGCAAGGTTAACCTGGGTTCAGATTCTCTCTTCAGCTAGGTGGCTACTTCTCTGGACAAGTTTTGGTTGGTTGGTTGGTTAGTAGGCTTGAATTTCCTTACTTTGTTGATCTCTCATCCATGGGTTCACTCCCTGAATGCTACAACAGCCAGGACTGGGCTATGCCGAAGCCTGGAACCTGGAACTCAATCCAGTCTCCCAAGCAGGTGCAGAAAGCCAAGAACTTGGCCCATTCCCTTACCTATTGCCTTCTAGCTGTGTGCTTTGGAGAGCAGCGTGGCCAGGACTCAAACCCAGGCACTCTGACACTCTAACAGGGCATCCCACATGACCTCTCTCTCTCTCTCTCTTTTTTTTTTTTTTTAATTGGAAAGGCAGATAGACAGATAGGAGAAGAAACGGAGAGGAAGATCTTCCATCTGATGATTCACTCCCCCAGTGGCTGCAAGGCCTGGAGATGAGCCAATCTGAAGCCAGGAGCCAGAAGCCTCTTCCAGGTATCTCACCCAGGTGTAGGAGGGAATGTTTCCGTTGTTCCCATCTCTGTCACAGTGAAGGTACAATCTTTCCCAGAAAACTCCCTGCTATCCTCTGGTCAGCTCTGTTCTCTGGCTTAGCATGGGATCATGGCAACTCCTGAGAGGAGGATGGACAAAGCTAGTATTTACTTTCTCTAGCCTTTGTGGGTGAAGGAGCTGAAAGTTGGCCTTACCGAGGACCAATCACCTACAGGGCCAGGTGGGAGGGGCTGGTAATCCCTCCCCTTGCTTCCTAACTCTGAAGTTGCCCTGGTCTCGGCATCTACTGAATCTACAATTCTGTGAGCCATCTTATAGTCTTTTGATAAAGTCTCAGTGTTAACTTCTGTCAATTGTGAACAGGTGAAGTGTCGTTGCCAGGATGGCATGAGAATGCCTGACAGTGGTCAGTAGTATGGGCCACAATGCTTTGTCCAAGAAAGCACAGCCAACTGATGCAAGTTGGTGTCTTTTTTTTAAAGATTTATTTATTTTTATTGCAAAGTCAGATATATAGACAGGAGGAAAGATAGAGAGGAAGAGCTTTTGTCTGTTGGTTCACTCCCCAAGCGGCCACAACAGCTAGAGCTGAGCCAATCCAAAGCCAGGAGCCAGGAGTCTCTTTCCAGGTCTCCCACATGGGTACAGAGTCCCAAGGCTTTGGGCTGTTCTTGACTGCTTTTCCAGGCCGCAAGCAGGGAGCTGGATAGGAAGCAGGGCTGCCTGGATTAGAACTGGTGCCCATATGGAATCCTGGCGCATGCAAGGCGAGGACTTTGGCCACTAGGCTATGGTGTCAGACCCAAGAAGGTGAGTATTAATGCCAGCTCTATCTTCTTCCAGGCCTCCATTCCACAAAACTACCTCAGCTATTAAAAGAAAAAAATTTTTTTCCTCTTTCTGCAAAGATGTAAGAGAAAATACATGTGTCCCACCCTGAAACAAGAATAGCGCTGGTTCTTAGAAAATTTCTTAAAGTAGTGGGCATGCCTGGTCTCCCAAATCCAGACTAACATGAGGGTTCATTCAGATGAGTGATGAAGGAAAGAATCTTCTGGGTTTCCTCGACTGACTTGACCTTAAATTTTGACACAGACAACTTCTAGTGAGAGCCAGCCCCTGCTAAAAAGAGAAGCGGGGGGTTTGCAGCCATGAAAGTGGCCTTGCCCCAAAGGCTGGGGAGACAGTAGGGGTGAGAGGGAGTGGCTCGCAGCCAGTGAATACCTGCCCACCTGGATGCTACCTCTGATACTAACCAGCCATGGGACATTGGACAAAAAGTTATGTGGCAAACTCTATGTGCCTCCGTCTCCTCATCTGGAGTTGAGGACAATAGCACCAAGGGTTGGAGTTGGAACAATGAGATGAGTTAAGACATAGATCTGTGGGCCACTGCTGTGGCCTGCCAATTCAAGCTGTCGCCTGTAGTGCCAACATCCCATATGGGTGCTGGTTCATGTACTGGCTGTTCCATTTCTGATCCAGCTCCCTGCTGATACCTAGAAAAGCACAGGAGGGTGGCCCAAGTCCTTGGGCCCTGCACCCACTTGGGAGACCCGGAAAGAGCTCCTGGCTCCTGGCTTTGAATCGACTCAGTACCAGCTGTTGTGGTCACTTGGAGAGTGAATCATCACATTGAAAACTTTTTTTTTTAAGATTTATTTTATTTTTATTGGAAAGGCAGATATACAGAGAGGAGAGACAGAGAGGAAGCTCTTCTGTCCAATGATTCACTCCTCAAGTGAGCACAACGGCCAATGCTATGCTGATCCGAAGCCAGGAGCCCCCTCTGGGTCTCCCACATGGGTGCAGGGTCCCAAAGCCTTGGGCCATCCTCCACTGCTTTCCCGGGCCACAGGCAGGGAGCTGGATGGGAAGCAGGGCCGCCGGGATTAGAACTGGCATCCATATGGGATCCCAAGGCGTGCAAGGCGAGGACTTTAACCACTGCGCCATCGTGCTGGGCCCATACACGCTGAAAACATTTCTCTCTATCTCTCCTCCTCTCTCTATATATCTGACTTTGCAATAAAAATAAATAAATCTTTAAAAGAAAAAAAAATGAATCAGCAAATAAAAAATCTCTCTCTCAAGATAATGAATAATCGGCTTGGTAGATATAGGGCTTGCCAAATTATCTGGGTTGGGTTTGGTTTTCTAGGAACACCCTGCCACAACACCTCCACGTCTCCACCCACTTCCCGACCCCTGCCCATCTGCCCCCTTGTTCCATTTTCTTGATTCATTCACTAGGGTTCCTCGGGAAATCCAAGCATCACTGTGTAATAACTGTAGCGGCACTTTAGTGAGCGCCTGCTGTCTACCCAGGTGCTGCTCATGCATGTTTCTCAGATACATCAGCTCAGAGCAGTCTTTATTTTGTAAACCAGGAAATCAAGGCTCAGAAAGCTGGCATGACTTTCCTCCAAGCACAGAGTCCTGGGTCCAAAGACAGTTCTTGTGTTTTCAAGCACAGGCTGTGCAGAGCCAGGCGGGCATAGCAGATGTGTGCATATTGGGCAGGCAGTGCTTCAGGTGCCCACATCCCCGGTTGGAGTGCCTGGTGCAAAGCCCGTTCAGTTGCTTCTGACACATCTTCTTACTGATGCAGCAACCCTGGAGGTAGCAGGGACGGCTACTTGGGCCCCTGTTCCACCTTCCACATGGAAGACATGCGTTGAGTGTCCAGTTCTTGGCTTTGGCTTGGCCCAGTCCTGGCTATGTGAGCATTTGGGGAGTGAACAGGAAATGGAAGCTCCTTTTCCTCTCTCTCCCTCTCCCTTCTCTCCCCACACCCCTTTCTTCTCTCTCCTTTAGTGCATGTGTGTGTGTTTCTTTGTCTTTCAAATTAAAAAGAAATGAAAATAAATAAAAACTGAAACAAGAAAAGTGACAATATATTCCCAAAGAGGCTGCTCTCCAGGTTAAGGCAGGATGCTCAGCCTTGGGTCTAGCAGCAGAGCTGAAGGGATACAGGGAAAAGGGAGGACTGTATGAGAACACGTCCAGGGGAGGCTGTCCTTCCTGTCTTTGTAAAAAACAGTCTAGTGACCAAGGTCACTGAGCAAACAGCACCCCAGGCACTCTAAGGGTGCAGAGGGCTGTGGCAATGAGAAGTTACACATGCCAACTGCAGGCACTCAGTCTAGGCCCCTCTGCACCAGAGCATGGAACAATGATTGGACCGAGTGCTGAGTCGAGACTAAAAAGTAGCTTTGTCCTTGGCATGTTCTTCGCTGTGACCCTGCAGATGCAGAACCATGGCCTTCCAACCTGGCCTTGCACTGGGTGAGTAAGGACCACACCCAGGTGACATAACAGGGAGATCCTATGCAAGATAATCTGAACAGCTTTTATACTTGAGCTTAATTATAGCATCATCAGGTAGTCCCAGCTGGCAAATTAAGCAAGTTGAAGGCAAATCATCTTCCCTAATAACTACACAAGAAAAACTCAAGTGCCTCAGTAAATCAGTGCTGACATTGCCCTGGTCTAGAGAAGTCAACACAGGGTAATAACAAAATACAATAGTTACTGCAGAACTCTATGGGTTGTTTCTGCCAAGAGGTGCCCTAGAAACAGTTTGGTGATGATGGGCTAGAACAGGCTTGAATCCAACCTCAACAGAGCCTCTCCATCCTGAGCTCTCAGTGCGATGTCCCGTACCTTCCACTCACCTTTCCTATGGCGTACCATCTAGCTGGCTTCTGCTTCTTTGCCCTCATCCCCTGCTTTCAGAACTGAGACCCATGAGTCCTTCTTGGCAGATGGGTCTGTTCAGATTATCTTGCAGGAAGGGAAAAGATCTATAAACGTTTCCTTCTCAAATAGGTACAAGTGGAAATGTGAGCATAATGCACATTTAAAAAGCATAATGCTGGGCCTGGCATGGTAGCCTAGTGGCTAAAGTCCTCACCTTGAACACGCCAGGATCCCATATGGGCAAAGTTCTAATCCCAGCAGCCCTGCTTCCCATCCATCTTCCTGTTTGTGGCCTGAGAAAGCAGTTGAGGCTGGCCCAAGGTCTTGGGATCCTGCACCCGTGTGGGAGACCTGGAAGAGGCTCCTGGCTTCAGATTGGTGCAGCTCCAGCCATTGTGGCTATTTGGGGAGTGAATGAATCATCAGACAGAAAATCTTCCTCTCTATCTCTCCTCCTCTCTCTATATATCTGACTTTACAATAAAAATAAATCTTAAAATTTTAAAGCATATGGAAAACAGATTTAAAAGGTGTTTATTTTGGTATAAAACGAGTTTGAAATCTAGATTTCCTTCCATAATATTTCCATGCTAAGCCAACGGTACTCAGGTCAGGCCACTTGGCCCAACACCTGTCCCACAGGCATGGCAGTGAGCCATTCCCAGAGGCTCCACCAGATTTCCTTTGGATGGTTCGTCACTGCCTGTCAGTCAGCTCTGAAAACATACACCAGTACATGAAGACACAAACTGCATTCCACTGCAGATGCTCTTTCGTTCAGGACGATCACACACCCTTCCAGCACCATCCCCGGAACAACCTAGTTGGGTGGCATGTGCCATTGCTGCTTTGTCTCTGGCTGAAAGCCACCAAAAGCTGCTCATTTTCTCATCCCTGGGATGAGGCAAAGAGGTAGGGAGTAGTGACACAGGCAGGGGGCTGGTTGCAGGAATTTTTTTTTTCTTCCTAATTGAGAAAGACACGATTTCTAACTCCTGGCCTCCTGTTTCTGGTTGAGGGTTCCCTGGGATGTGACATCTGGAAGGGGGAGGGGCCAGACTGGTCACTGGGGTCATTGAGGTTTGGGGGCATTAGTGCAACGGGAAACCTAATCAGGCTGCAAGGCCATGGCCAAGGGCGCGGCGCTGCCCAGGTCAGCAGTGGGGGCGTGGCCTGCCGCGGGGGGGCGTGGCCTCCTGGCTTAGAACGGCGGCAGGGGGCGGGGCCCGCGGAACCCCAGAACTCGGGTGACTCGGGGGCGCAGCGCGTGTGTCCAGGCGCGGGGTTCCTCCCACGCAGCCTCCCATTCAAAAGATGCCGAAGGGGCGGCGCGGCAGCCACAGCCCCACGATGAGCCAGCGGCCGGCCCCGCCCCTCTACTTCCCGTCCCTCTACGACCGGGGCATCTCCGCGTCCCCGCTCAGCGACATCAACATCTGGAAGAAGCTCTTCGTGCCGCTGAGGACCAGTGGGACCCCGGCGGGGGCGGCGGCGGCGGCGGGGGGCCGGCCCCTGCCGCCCCAGGCGCCCTCGGCCCCCGCACCGCCGCCCGGCCTGGGGCTCCCCGCCGAGTGCCCCTGGCCTCCTCCCTGGCCCCCCGGCCTGGCCCCCATCCCCTACGAGCCTCTGCGCTTCTTCTACTCGCCGCTGCCGGGGTCCGAGGTGGCTGCCTCGCCCCTGGGCCCCGGCTCCCCGGCCCCCCGGCTCGCCTCGGGCTCCCACCCCGAGGAGCTGTGCGAGCTGGAGATCCGGATTAAGGAGCTGGAGCTGCTCACCATCACTGGCGACGGCTTCGACTCCCAGCGCTGTGCGTGACTCGCCCTCCGCCGCTCTGTGCCCTGCCCCAGCCTGCAGTCCCCTCCCGGGGCCCCAGAAGGCAGACTCCTCTGCCCTGGGTGTCAACGGACTCCTTCCCCCACCTCAAACCTGAACTTCATGTCCTTCTTTCCCGTTGTCCAGCTCCTCTAACCCCTTCTGTAATCTCACAGCCCTGGAACTCTTCCACTAGTCTCTGGAGACCTGGGTCTTCTTGTTTGATCTTAGTGGAGCCATCTCGTGGGAGGAAGTGGGTGGAGCGGCTGTAAGGGGCAAGTGGGAGTTGGACAAGACCCAGAAGGCCCAAGGGTGTTCACAAGGGGCTTTGGGACACTCCACTTCTCTGCTGACCTTGGGTCGGCAATGTTAGGGATCTGGACCAGGGCAAGACCAACTGGGCTATATGGGCAAGTTTTCTCCTTGGTTGTGACATGGCTCCATGTACCTGTAGCCCCGGCAGGACTTTTTGTTTGTTTTGCACAGTGTTGTGTTTTTGGTAACATAGGGTGTCCTTGAAGACTTTGCCATCACCCTTTCTAAGGCCTAAACTTGAACTTGAAGGCAGACAAATGGTTCTAGATTGACCATCCCAACTATTGCGTACAACTGGTCAAACTGGCCACCATGTCACAGAGGGAGAGGCAATATGCAGGACCCCAAAAACCTGGGTCCCCATGGCTGTGGGACGGGGCCTCTGATTCTTCAGAAACCTGCTGTTGGTCCCTTTGTCGTGGCCAAGGCCATGGAGGGAAGCCAGGTTGGGGTTTCTCAAGTCTCCACTGTGGATTTGCCAGATCCATGCAATGGGGCCATTCAGGGCTGCTTTCCTCCTGTCGTGGGTCACAGCTGAATTCCAGGCTCAGGACAGGGAGCCCCCAGGAGGTGGCCTTGGAAGGGTTAGGAAAGGCCCAGGTCTCTGCTACAGTTCAGTTGTTTTGCTCTCCCACAGATAAATTCCTGAAGGCGCTGAAAGATGAAAAGTTACAAGGACTGAAGACTGGGTCGCCTGGAAAGAAGTCAGCCTCTCCTTGCTGAGGCGCCGTCCCCGAGCCCCGCCCCAACCCCAAACTTGTTAGCTACCTGCTTAGCTGTTAGAGTACTTAGATAACATGTCCCGCTTACTGTTCTTTTCAAAGACCCTTATTTTCTGTTCTGTGTTTACTGCTGGCCTCCTGGCTTGCCCAGCACAAATCCTTATACAGTGTCCCCTTGGAGGTCAGTGTCATGGTCATTCTCTTCTGTGCTACCGTTGGGGGGGCTACCCCTGGGGGTCAGAATGCAGAGCTGCCAAGGATGGGGGGGTGGAACAGAGAGGGGAATGCTAGTGCAAGGGTTGGAAGGGGGTCGGGATGAAGCAAGGGCAATGTGTGTGTGTTTCTGCTGCGGAGTCTCTGCTCAAGACCTTCACGTTCTAGAACATCAGGGTTTTGGATCCCCCCCTCCCCTCACATACACACCACCAAACATCTTCAGTTTATGGAGATATTTCGTGGTTATTTTTAAGATCTATTTTTATCGGGCTTGGCACAATGGCTCAATTGGCTAATCCATCTCCCACAAGTACCAGGAACCCATGTGGCCACCGGTTCATGTCCTGGCTGCGCCACTTCCCATCCAGCTTCCTGCTAATGCACCTGGGTAGGCAGTGGAGGATGGGACCCTGCACCCACTTGGGAGACCCAGAGGAGGCTCCTGACTCCTGTCTCCTGGCTTTGGATTGGCTCAGCTCTGGCTCCACTGAAGTAATTTGAAAAGTGAACCAGCAGATGGAAATTCTTTTTCCTTCCTTTCTCCGAGATCAGACGAGATCGGGCGCGTTCAGGGTGGTATGGCCGTAGACCCTTCCTTTCTCTATAAATCTGTCTTTCCAATAATTTTTTATTTTTTTTAAAGATTTATTTTTATTATTTTTTTTTATTGGAAAGGTGGATATACAGAGAGGAGAGACAGAGAGGAAGATCTTCCGTCCGATGATTCACTCCCCAAGTGAGCGCAATGGGCCGATACTATGCTGATCCGAAGCCAGGAGCCTCTTCCGGGTCTCCCACGCGGGTGCAGGGTCCCAAAGCTTTGGGCCGTCCTTGACTGCTTTCCTAAACCACAGGCAGGGAGCTGGAAGGGAAGCGGGGCTGCCGGGATTAGAACCGGCACCCATATGGGATCCCGGGCGTGCAAGGCGAGGACCTTTAACCACTTGCGTCACCGTACCGGGCCCCCAATAATTTTTTAAAGACCAATTTTATCTATCTGAAAGGCAGGATAACAGAGACAGAGTGAGAAGAGATCTTCCATCTTAAGATTCATTCATTTCCCCAAATGGCCAAAGCCAAGGCCCCAGAACTCCATTCAGACCCCTGCATGGGCAGCAGGGACCCCAGGTACCTGGACCACCACCTACTGCTTTCCCAGATACACTGGCAGAGAGCTGGAGTGAAAGCAGAGCAGGTGGGACTCACATTAGCACTCTAAGTGTGGGAATGTCTGTATGCCAAACAGTGGATTAACCTATTGCATCATGCTGGCAATTGTTTTGGTTCTTTTTTTTTAATTATATCTTTTTAAAATTTTTTTGACAATCTTTACATGGTTAATTAGGACACAAAGGTTCAAGGGCTACAGGAAAGTGGATAAGACTATTATTTCCACATTTTTTCCCTGTATCTGGGAATCTGCTTTTCCAATAATGACAAATAAATATTAAAAGAAATAAAGAGAGTAAGGCAAGGATGGCAGGGAAGGTCGGAGGAAGGCAACAGGGATGTTCACAAGGGTTTCTCAAAGGAGTGGAAATTAAGCAAGGTGTGAAGTCATATGACCCAACGACAATGTCATGCAGAAGGGCCAGTGCAGTGGCTTTGGGTGGGAGCATGTGGCATTTTTTTTCTGAAGGTTTATTTTGATTGGAAAAACAGATTTACAGAGAGAAGGAGGGATAAGAGAAAGATCTCCCATCAGTTGGTTCACTTCCCAATTGGATACAATGGCCAGAGCTGCTCTGGTCTTAGGCAGAGAGCTGGGAGCTTCTTCCAGGTCTCTAATGTGAGTACAGGGTTTCAAAGCTTTGGGCCAATCTCCACTGCCTTCCCAGGCCACAAGCAGGGAGCTGGATGAAAAATGCAGCAGTTGGGACATGAATCAGAGCCCATACTATATGCCTGCACTTGCCAGTTGAGCAATCATGCAGGTGTCTCGCTTAGGGTGAGGGAGGGGCTGCTGTGTGTGGCCTGGTTTCCCAGGCTGGTGTCCCAGCAGACTGCCAGGCAGGAGGATCTTGGGTCCTGTGTGGACTGGCATGGGGGAGTCCACACACATGGGGTTTTGGGTCTTGGTCCCAATGACTGGCCCATAGTTATTATCCTGAGAGCCCTGTCTTCTTGGGAGAGAACCATGTAGGCCTGGGGGCACGGGCAGGGGAACCCAGTACAGGCCTGGGGTTGAGGGGGCAGGAGGCATAGGTCCTGTGTGCGGGGAACCAAGTGCAGGCCTAGGGATGGGGACAGGGGGCACAGGGCCTATGTGGTGGGGGGCTCAGCACAGGGCTTGGAGGGGGGGACACAGGCCTGTTTTGAATCAGAGGAAGGGCTATGAGCCCCTTGGGATCCCTGTATCAACAGCTGGGCCTGGGTCCACACGGCTTAAGATCCTGGAGGGATGGAGAGGGGGCAGAGCTCACTCTTGCACCCACAACCTGAGCTCAGGGGACTTACCACTTGGGAGTGTAGTCAGGGTACTCCTGGGACAGGGCCTGGCTCCTCCTAAGCTCAGGGCATTCCTCTACTGTCCCCACACCCACCAGTGTCCCTGTAGCCTTGGGACAGCTCCACACAGGATTGTCAGCCTGGTGCATGGTGAGCTATTACCCCGTCTGCACAACCCAGGGCTGCGGGGGCAAGGCCAGCTGTGTGGGTCCCCAAAGCACTGGTGGCCCAGTGTGGGCAGTGGAGATAGCAAAGGGGGAGCCCTGCCTGATGTTAGCCCATGACACCCCATGCACAATGGACAATAGCTCTGGTGCCGCACTGGGTGTGCAGACCCCGAGGTCCCACTTAGCTGAAGGACCAAGCTAGCAGGACCGGTATCCCAGCTGAGACAAGCAGCATCTCTGCCAGGCCAAGCCAAGCTCTTGGACAAAGCCTTGGCCCCCACAGTGACCCATGGACATGGCCCATTGCCCGGCCATCTGCCATACTGTACTGTTTGGCTGCAGGAGCCTGAACTAGCTGGCTCCCATCCCATTGGCCTGGAGGGGAGCATGTTGGACAGCTGCCAGGTGTTGTGGTGCCAATCCAAGAAGGACACAGCTGAGGAGCTTGTGGCGGTGGGTGTTGGCTGACCCTGCATCCCAAGCTGAGCTGAGGTTGGGGCTAGCAAGAGGGGACTGGACAAGGGGTTGCTGGGCAGACGGGGCTTGAGCATGAACTGGGGTGAGGGCCAGGGTGGCAGGGGACAGTCTACTGGGCGGATCTCCCACCTGGGCTCCTGTCTGGCCAAGAGAAACAGCAACGGGAAAGGGGACAAGCAGCAGGTGCTGAGGTCCCACTCACACTTAGCTCTGAGGGCCCCGCCTTCTGCATGCCAAAACTGTTACTTTTCTGCCAAAATGTTTTAGAAGCTGTGGGCTTATTAGAAGTATTTTCAAGAATCAAGATGGCGGAATGTGGTAAGAACACATTTACAGATGGAGAAATATTAGCCAGTGTGAACCAGAGAGGGCACATTCCAGGAAATAAGTGAGGACAAAACAACAGCAGAGGGGTACCTACAGACTGACAGACACAGGAAAGCAGCAGACACATGGTGTGGTGCTGCAGTGACTGATACCCGAGCAGCATTCAGTGAGTGGCAATCTGAATTGCACAGGTAGCCGGAACTACACCAGCAACCAGGTGGGAAGGGACGTCTACCGGGAGCTCAGACAAAGAACTGCCTGTCCTGCTGGTCTGTTTGATTTGACCAGGAGCAGAGACAGAGTGGTAGGTCCCAGATAGGCAGTTTGGGAACAAGGTGGATTTCAAAACCCAGTGTGCCCCCTAGAGCCATATCAGATACCATTTTATTTAAGTAGGCAAAGGCTAGGGGACAGTACTGCTCATGCAATGAGCTGGGAGTGAACTCATTTCTTGCACAGTAAACTGCAATGTGGCATCCTGTAGGTTCCACCCAAGATAGGTCCAGGTAGCCTTCAGACCTGATGCGCGTCAAATTAAGAACTCTAGTAGTGGCACATTTAGTAGGTGCCATTATGTGTGGTGTGGCAAAGAATTTAAGACTGCAGGAACAACAGTGGGCTGCTCACATGCTGAGCTCAGCAAGAACTCACTGTCCCACAGGAAAATAATACCAACTATGGTATTGTATGGGTCAAAATAGGTCCGAGTGACCCTCAGACCTAACGGTCAACAGGTTCTAGCAAGATCACCACCACCAATTTAGCTATATAGGACACCTGGTGTCTCCCTAATCCTGGGACCTGCTACAACTGGAAGTGGGAGAAAAGTTGTACAGACAATGGGGCAGCCTCAGCACAGTATCACAGGAGGTGGAGAGTGGGAGCCAAAAACTGGGGCTACAGAGACCATGGTGGAAATCTAACATAAGAACCCAGACCTGGAACTCGCTGAAGGGAGTGGCACAAGTGACTGTGAACAAAGAGCAGTGTGCCAACTACAATAAGTAAAAATCGAACTGTAGACATGTGGGTGACACAGCTTAGAAACCTGCCCTAAGGAGAAGAATCTGCTAACCAGAAGTACAATGACCAAGAGCAAAAGAAGAGACAGAGGCATAATTAATATTACCAAAGACTCCCCTGCAAAGGATCAAAAGGCTTTGCCAACCTCAGAGTTCACTGAGGAAGACATTGAGAAAACGGGAATACAGAATTCAAAACACTTGTTATAAAGCTTCTTAACAATGGGAAGCACATAAAGCAGTTGTCCAAGGAATATGTCACACTGGAAATAAATGAAAGCCAATATATCAGAAATGAAGAACACAGAGGAGCAAATTAAAAGTACAGTGGAGAGTCTCCAAAATAGAATGAAGGAGGCAGAAGAAAGAATCTCAAAATTAAAAGATATTTCCCGCTATCAGGGGAAAACAAACAAAAAGCTGGAAGCAGAGCTGGATCAGTCC